AGAAGGTGCTAGGACCTTGGCCTACCCCAGTTCTAGGAAAGAGGGCTCCGTTTGCCTTACGTGATACAGACCTGGCACACTAGTAGAAACATTCTTCTATGATAATCAGTATAGAGCACTTCACGGGCCGGGATTTCCAGGCCCGGCCCGAGCCTGACAGAATTATGCCCTTTCCAGGCCCGACTCGGCCCTGCCCGGCCCGGTAGAGGCACGACCCGAGCCCGATAAAATTTGAATATATGAGCCTGAGCCCGGCCCCGACTGGAAAACTGCGACCGAGATTTTTTTTACACCATAAATATGCCGACTTAGAAGATGTATTTTCTAGAATATGAGCGAAATATGCGCATCATTTGCGACAGTCTTTGAACTCGTGTCATACCGAGATTTCTTGAGACAAAAGAAGGAAAATTTTTATTTATGACTTTCTTGAACAGATATTGCACTTTTCATTGTTCCATTCAATTTGTTTCACAGAGAACTTTCCTTCCTACATGGTTTTGTGGAGAAACAATAAATTATCCATTCACTCTTCAGGCAGGTCCGCCTAGCTTGCATGACGTAGCCCGCCGCACTAAGGTTCCTCTCGCTGCTAGCATTCAGGGATGCATGCATTTGGATAGGAGGTACAGTTTCGGGAATTCCTTCTCATGCGCTCTCCAGGAGTCGGAAAGCTCAAACACTCGTGAGCACGAGTAGTCCTCCTTGCCGTGCAGATACTCCTCCAATTCGTTGGTGGCTACGTTGTCGTCCTCCGTGTCACAACAGTCTTGAAACAAACCCAGGCGCCTTTTTTTCGAGGCGGTATCTCGAACCTCATCGTCAGTCTCATCTTCATCTTGGGTCATTGCTTCAGTGACACGGGCAAGTAGCTTTCTGACGTGTGCGTAGACTACAAGGCGCTGGTCCTCCGGCAACATGTGGAGCTGGCGGAACTGAGGCCAAAGAAATATGGCGGTCTTGTGGAGGAGAGAAATATTCAACTTCATATCCAGGAAATGACGAGCACGGGCCTTGATTTTTTCGATTTCCACTGCCTCTACTGCAGGCACCGGAGCATGTTCAATATGGTTCCTCTACAGGGAAGCGTAAAGTACAACCAGAGGAAGTGTGTGACGTTTTTCTTCCTCGAGCGCGTCGCTAGCATCTTTAAAGAGTTGCAGGAACTTGATTAACTTGTTGAGTGTTGTCTTGTTCACGCTCTCCATCACTGGATTGTTCCTTGACTCCAGTAGAGCTTCTATCTCCTCCAACTGAGAACAGACAGACTTTAGCATGGATACCTTTTGCGCACGCAGTTGTCACTTTCTCCTTTACGTCCACGGGCACGGGAGGTATAGGGCATTGAGGTAATAGAAAAGAAGAAATACTTAGGCTATTCAATAAAACCTTGCACTTGTGACGAGTAAGATGAGACATCCCGGTCCTTGAACAAACGACACTGAACATGTCCTTTGGGCACGGACGTTCTGGAGTCCATGGCTGTGGGAACTTTTTTCCACACAGAGCTCTTAAAGTTTGTCTTCTCAGCAAGTTTGCAGAGCGCAGGTGATGCCAAGCTTGCCGATTGTCGATATTGGTGCACCATCCATCTTCCATTGCTGCCACCGAGATAGAAAGTTGCAGTATAAAAAATAAATGATGATAAAAGAAAAGTTTCTTTGGAAAGATGGACTCGTCAAGCGTCTATTTCTTATTAGACGGTTGGTAACATGGGCAGGACAACAGTCGATTCTTTTGGTAATTTCGATCCCGGAAAGATTTTAGAAGTAAAGAAGAGACAATCAAAACCTCGCTAGTGCATCTTCAAAAGACTACGGAAAAAAAATAAATATATATATATATATAGGGTATGTTAGCTAGTCTTTGGTCGCATAGTAAGGCCCCCACAGAAAACACTAAGTCAAAATAATGTGTTCTTTTGTATTTTCTGTTTTAATTTGAAAAGCAGAGGAAAAATACAATCATGTTGTACCCTGCGACCGGAGTGCCCTTGTTTTCTAGCCCACACTCTCCCACTATGCTGGTGGAGTCCATACGTTGTCTCTTATCCGCTTGAAAGCTTTCTAACTACAAGGCGCCTTTTTGTTGTTGTGAACGGCGCGTAGTGACTTTGCACTTTGCCTTTTTTGTTTTCAATTAACCTCAAAGATGAATAAGCAAACCTTTTGTTCTCAACAATTTAGAATTTACGGCACACGTCTGCCCAGGCACGGCCCGGGCCGTCTTGGGCCAGCTCGGCCTGAAAACGTTTTTTGTTTAAAGGGGAACTGCACTTCTTAATATGCATTTTTTGGGGAAAAAAGGTGCAATCCAAGGTAGTGCCCTCCTTAAAGTATTTCTTCTGGTACTTTTTGAGTAAAGTACAATTCTCAACTTCAAAGTATATTCATGAAATTTGGTCCTGTTAAATTTGTATGAGAAAATGATGCTTCATCAACAAGTAATTGTGCATTACAAGTTGATTGTGTTAAATAGTCTGTCAATGAGAGCAAAACAACTACCCTGTGGCCGCTTGACTTCATCCAATATTCAATGCCATTTCCGAAAATAGCTAACTGATGCACCCCCATTACCCCTAAGACAATGCATGCCATTTTAAAAAAAACTTCTGCGTATGGAAATGAAAAAAGGGCATTTTTGCTTGGTACTTTGTAGTACTAGTTGCTTGTTAGTCTTTCCCAGTCAATAAATGTTTGACACACATGCAGACACCCATAGAAGTAGTGATGAGTACCTGATAATACCGCTTAAGCGGTTGCCACGGGTAACCACGTTCCACTACACTCTTAGTTTTAATGGAGACCCTCAGGGCTTCTGGTTTTTCATTTGAGAAAAACCAGAAGAGAATGATGATCAATTTCTTGGGTTAACTGTGTCATTCTCCAGACGTTGGTTTGCATGGCCACTTCAGAGCTGTAAAAGTAGCTTGACTCCATCCCACCACCCTGCTACTATTCCCAAATATTTTATTTTCTCGTTTGATTAGTTAGCTGAAGAAAACCAGTAACCTCTAGAACCTGCATTTTATAACACTAGATAGTGAACAATTTTAGTCATGCACCCCTTATTGTCAGCGTAACGCCTAGGTACGAGCACTCGCTGCATATCAGGAGCTACATACTCCCGTGTACTTGCTACAAACCTAGGTCATCATAGTTGTGTTAACAGTAACTCTATTAGGTAGGTTCAATTTCGAGTAACATTTAATTTGGACATGAATTTTTCATGTGGGTACTTTTCTGGTATCCGGCAAGATCAGGATGGGCTTGTATCTGCACAGGGGGGCCTACAATGCAAGAATTCCAGACATTTCCGAACATGAGCATTTTGTCCCAAGCAAAGTGAATACATAGTGAATCGAATTACCTTTGGTGTGAAATGTTTCATTAAATGTCCTCGTATAAACCCCTTTAGACCTCTGGTGAATGAGCTATAGGAGAGGCTGGGCTGATGGGATTTCATGGCTGCCAACCAAGAAGACAAGCTAGGAGGAATGTTTTTAAGTTGTATCCTGTACAGCAGGGCCGTACCCAGAAAAAAATTTCGGGGGGGGGGGGGGGGGGGGGGGTTTTCGGGGACAACGGCGGCCATTTTGTCTTAATTTCGCCTATGAATCATGTGCATCGGTGGCATATAATGGAGAGTTATAGCAAACCGAAGAACCGGTCCCGGTTTGGTACCCGGTAGCCGACCGGTGCCGCTGCGCGTGCGCAGAGGTGGAGATTAAAATCGGCTGGCTGCAAGTGCACCGACCAGGGCCGTACCCAGAAAAAAATTTTGGGGGGGGGGGGTCAGGACCCCCTAACCCCCCCCCTGGTTACGGCCCTGCTGTACAGTGCTGTCTGCCTTTGGGCAGCGTTACCTCTTTCGGTGAAATATTTGCGATTCTTTGTGGTATTTGCACAGCACGAGCAAATATTTTTAATTTAAAAGTCTCAGTTTGAAGAAAAAGAGTTAAAAAAAAAAAAAAAAAAAAAACTCTTGCTGTTTCTTTGTTTTAGATTTCCACTTGCCCTCTTGAAAAAGTTTACCAGTCGGAGGAAACCTGGGGGGAAACCTGTATATATATTTTCTGGGACGCTCTGTAGACCCTTCTGCTGTTTACAAACATGAACCACTGCTTGCCTCCCAAGCGACTTCCGGTCGCTTCGTTTTCCGCTAAATTTAGCGTGAAAATTTCTCCTCTAAATTTGGCGGAAACATTTCCCGGCTGAATTTAGCGGGTTTAGTTTCCTCACCAAATTTAGCGGGAAAATTATAACTTTAGCAGGAAAATTTTTCCGCTAAATTTTGCGGGTTAAGGAGGAGGAAGGGAGGGTACAGAGGGACATACCCTCACCTCCATACCCTCCTCTCCTCCTCCTTAAGAGCTGCGATCTAATTTCGCATTACAGATTTGTAGACGTCTCATTTCTGTTCTCTCAGAGTCATAATGGCCGACATTAGCCAGTCGGAAAATTCATTTGGTTTGATTCCCCTGTTCCATTGAGTGCTCACTACTCTGCAAACAGTCGGCAGCTATTGCACTGCCCGATTGATCATCCAAAAACCCGCAACCACGCGTGTTGTACAGCGGATGAGGTTGGCTCATACAGACTAGTCATCTGTTGCTTGCTGATCCTGTAAGGTGTACGCCGGGCCATTGCAAAGTTATCGCTCTCCTGTTGTATTTCTGATTACGGGTGGAAGCACATGTCATGAGCCACCTCCTTGACATAGGGATAAGCAAATCAAACATCGGGAATTCCTCGTGCGGCCGTCCCCGAAGCCTCGTATGTCGCCATGAATCGGCCAGATATCCCCACTATTTGGAGCCACCCCGATGCACCACACTCTGTGGTATCCTGGCCGAGTATCCTTCCCCAGTTTTTTTCTTCCTTTTTCTGTACTCTGTCACCCGAAGCGCATACATTTCGCTCTTTGTTGAGATGGGATGAGCCTGCAGGCAGCCCCTTTGTCTTCTGGTCGTCGTCTCAAACAACTCCGGTTCTGCGCAGATGCCTCGTCGGAAAACCACAGCCACTCGTCGAGGCACAGGGGGCCCAGCGCCAAGGACCAGCACCGGCCGATGGAAGGCACCACGGAGAGCGACAGTGACGTGGACATCGTCGGTGCCCTGCCGCTTCACCAGCGCCAGCAGAAGGGCCACAGGAGCAGCCAGGGGTCCACGGGGGCTCACAGGGGGGACCCCTGCCGCCAGGATCACAGCTACTCGGAGAGCGGGGGCAGCTCGCGCGACAGGGAGCGCCACTGGCCCAGCCACGGCAAGAGGCTGGCCACCAGGAGTCACCAGCAAGGTGGGACTGCTAACGAGACTGCCAGTGGTTCGGGCTGCATTGTCGCCTCTGGTCTCGCTCGAGGTGCACAGTTCAAACTAACAAGGAAATGTTAGCTTTATTTAGCCGAAGGAACCTGATCTTCAATTCTGTTAATTGACATTGGGTCACCTCCCTTTTTTGCTCTTCATTTTAAGTTCAAACGAATAGTAAAAAATCAAATGTTAGCTTTACTTAGCTGAAGGAATCTGATCTTCAGCTATGTCAATCGGCAATTGGGTCGTTCCAGGGACCTCCCGTGCGGCCGATCGTACAAAGACTGAGGAGGGGAGCCCTGAACCAGATTGGCCGGAGGCACCGGACCTCCAGCTGGACTGCCTCATAAGTGACGACGACGACAGCAGCAGCGTTGAGTTGGTCAGCGTTGAACTCCCAAGGTGAGGCGGACCAGCGGCGGTAGGATGCTCAATTCCGCCGTCCCTTTGAGAGAAAAGGGCTGCATGCCGAGAATCAAAGCGGATTGAATTTGAGGGTCTTCTGGCCACTTCACATCTCGATATTCTAACGATATTGAACTGCAAAGTTCAAAATTTGTGTTTGTTTTACGTTGCTTCAAGTTCGTCGGTTATTTTGACGCTTGGCATGAGGCACTAATAACCCTAGTTACACAGACACCCTTGACTGCAGTAAGTGTGACTGAGGTCAGACTCAACGGGAGACATATGGCGTCTTTGGTGCCAAAAAAAGCTTTTAAGAAAAACATATTTTGGGAAGTGGTGATTTTGAAGTCTAAAACTAGTATTTTTATTCTCATCTGTCTAGTTTCTTTTTTTTGTGAATTAGTATTTAAGCCACAATGTCAGTTTATAATACCTATGCAGGCTGCAATAGCACTGAAAGTGGTGCAACATTGGCACATTCTCAGAACGCAAATTTTGTAATCGGCAAATTTGCGCAAAGGGATGTCAGCATCTTGGGTAGATAGAAATATCACTTCTTTTGCAGCATGTAGCTAAATGTGCAAGTCATACAATGTTGAGGGCAGATTTATCAATATATGTCTTGAAACTTTTTCAATTGATCTATATTGTTTTATTACTTAATAGCTACAAATTGCACACTGAACGCCACTGTTTTGTCATATCTTTTTATAATTCTTCAATCTTAAACATACTTCCAACATTCTATTCTTTATTCTTTACAGTATCTACCCATAGGATAAACAGAACTTTTTGTCAAGCAGTTCTTCCCTTTTGTTCTAGCAAACAAAGGTAGACGAGTTTTAATTACCTTGAGTACAAATCTATTAATAGAAAAAATAACCAGTTATTTGAAATCAGCACAAAAACAAAATAAAGAAACAATATCAAGATATAAGGCAAAAAGCTCCAAGACCAGTGTTTCCCCTTAACTGCGGTTAAGGGTGCCCGGTGGCATCCTAAACTGCAGTTATGCTTAAAGCAGCTGTGCAACGATATTCAGTTGGAATGTTTTTCACTTTACACGAGCTTACTAGGACTAGTGGGGTTCAAGGATACTCGCACGCAACTCCGCTGGCCAAGAAACTCCTTTGTTACGGTGTGAATTCAAGGACAAAAGCGATCATTTTCATTCAATCTCTCTTTTGCAAAATTTCATGACGTAACGTGGGGATCACAGAACACCCAAGTGACGATATTTGAATGCTGTTCATAGGTTGGACCCGAGCATTGCGTGGGCACTCGATTTGGGCTCGTGATAATTACTAGCTCGAGAAGCATTCGGGTAGTGGCCCGTGTCCAATCGCTGCAACGACGACAATAGCCGAGCCATAACAATGTCTGGAACTCAGCGCGTGCCCTGTGCTTTGCCAACCCCAGCGCGTGGCTATGATCAACATTGGCGGCATATAGTCGGCTCCAGATCACGTGGCCGCTTGTTCTGGCGGCGAGTTGAGGGGGTGAACGCTGCTCGTTTTTCTTTAATTTTTTTCTGGGACTTCTATTGCGTGGGGTGAGAAACGAACGGGTGTTTCATAGGTCATTAACGTTAGGGATGCGTTTTAAGCGGTATTTGCGCAAAGTACAAAAATTGTTGCATAGCTCCTTTAAGTAAGCTTGGCAGTTACTGCCAACTATACCCTAGCCATCTGTGCCATCTTTGGTGTTAGCTAGCTATGCCATCTTTGATGGCAAAGCAAGGGCTGCCAAGAAAAGTATTTAAGTTTTGCGGGGCGATTTTTATTAATAGTTGATTGCTGTGCAAGGCCTACGAGGAAGGCGAGAGGGGGCAACTTTTAGGTCGTTGCCTTTGAGGTTTTAGGCACACCCACGTGACGGTGAAAGATGTCTGTTGGGCCTTCTCGACCCAGTCAATATACTGATTTTTTGCTCTTTCCTTTTTACAGTGGAGCTGTTAAGGGCTAGGTTCCCCAGGATCGTGTCCATGTATGTCGACACAAACCTACCTGGACAGCTGCCGCCATCTATAAGCGACGGCGGCAAGCACACAACCAGTATGGTTTCTGCCATCGCTCGTAGATGGCGGCAACCTTTCCAGATATCATAGAAGAATGGATAGTTGGGCGCGTTTGTGGGAATTCATTGTAGGAAACAGTGCAAAATACAGATGACGACGAAGAAGCAGCACACAGTGTACCGAGTACAGCTCCGCTGGTCTTCCTTCTTCACGAGAGTGGAAAAGCTGAACATTTTTTCTTTGTTTGGGCGCCGTTCTCACAGATATAGTAAATGTTGACTTGGTTACCAGTCTTGTCAATTGCTAACCTGCCCAGCTCTATATTTTTAGCCCTTCAAGTGATTTTAGGGGCAAAGCTCCTTAGGGTCTAGCCTTGTCCGGCGTCCGTGCTCACATCGATTTCCATCCCATCTGTCAAAAAAGAAAAAATGTTTGCGCAGTCAACAGGATTCGAACCTGTGCGGGGAGACCCCAATGGATTTCTAGTCCATCGCTTTAACCACTCGGCCATGACTGCGGGACGAGTAGGGGGCTCTGAGATGTGGTAGTAACTCAAGAGCTGGGGATGTCATGGATGAAACATTTCATGTAGCCGCTCAACGTCTATACAGGAGAGGGCGCTACGGTCAAATGCGTATATAATCGCGTTAAACTTTGCATGCATTGGCTCAACGTGTATAGACGAGAGGGCGCTGCGGTCAAATGCTCATATGCATATATAACCACGTTCCATACCACACATTCTCTTTCTTACATGAATGAAAACTAAGAAAAAGCTCGGCATGCTACGACTTAGCGTCTACACAGACAGCAAGCTGCTTTGGAGAGGATAAACAAAAATCGGCATCATCAGCACTATCTATGAACAAAATCAGTATCATCAGCACCCCCAGAGCTTTGCCCCAATCAACATCATTCACCACGTGGAGATGCGGTCATTTTTTGGTTGTCTTGTTTCCAAGGTATAGTGACCAACCTCCAAAAGTCCTGTTGCTGCAAACAAAGCACATTAAACTGTTCAAAGAAGACTCTTCTTTGAACAGTTTAATTTTTGTGAAATATGAAACCTGCTCTTCAAAAGCAGTTACAGTATAGACCACTTACAACGTAACTGCTTATAGTGCAGGACCGGGTATAACGCGTTTTTTTTAAACCACCGGTTCGCCTCCCATAGAACTCCATGTAATTACATACCGCTTAAAATGCAGGCGCGCGAAGGGAAATACCGGTTATAGTGCGGTTTCTGGAACAGCCCGCCGACTGACCAACGCAGCGAGCACACTTCACTGTGTGACACTAGATAACGGCGCTAGCCGCAAGTGGCACTCGCAAGGGGAAAGGATGGCAAGGAAGTTGCTCGAAGAAACGGGGAGAAGCGAAGAGAAAGGCTTCAGTTGCCATAGCGACGGAGGGACGCGCGCACGTGTTGTTCACGTGCGTGCGTCCCTCTGCTGCGTTGGAAAGCAACCGCAACGACAGACCAATCGCAGGTCGAGGAGAAGTGTTCGCGCGCGTTGCATGCCGGTCGCGGGCCGGCTGCTTCTATCCGCAAACATGGCGTCGGTAGTAATCGTCGACGTAGACCTCCGCGTAAAAGCACTATCCGTGACTGTGAATTTGTGTTGTGTGGGCGAATAACCGAGCACGTACTAGAAGGGAAGATCCACCTACTCGTGCGGTGATGTCGTGGCGGCACTCTCAAGACGGCAGAAACGCCCGTGTCGTCGTGTTTGTTTACTTCGACTACACTAAGCATTTGTGTTTTCGAACATCGCCCGGATTTCTTATTTGGAGCATTTCATGCCTGTGCTCAAGTTGAAGGTATTACTGGTGCGTACTGTATAAAGGATGCGAATTTTCACGCGTTTATATCACCGGAGAAAAGTGATTAGGGTTAGCAATCCTGAACGCTCGCAACGTCCGTCCGCAACCCGCAACGCCGTTAAAAGGCTGCGCCAGGCGAAAGTCGCTCATTTCTTTCAAAATGTGAGACACACATGAGAGAAGTGTACTAGTCTCGTGAAATAAAGACTTTCCTCAAACTAAGCTTTATTTTTAATCTAGCATAAAATAAATTCTTTTACAAACGTAAGTTGTCTCATGGCATGTGTTTTGGCCTGAAAAATTGATGTTTTGGTTATAGCGCGGTACCGCTTATAGTGCGGATTTTCGCGACATATGTTATATGTGGTCTACACTGTATCATACTTTTATTTTATGCTTTGGTCTGTGTCATAACAGGCATTTCAAGTTGATGATATGCACCAAGCTACAAGCCAGCTGCCTTGTTGACTGATATTCACTGTTCTAGCTACTGTACTCATTTCTAGTAGTGAACAAGTAAATTAATGCACACGGTCCCTTCTGAAAATCCACAAAGACAAACATGGATGACGTATGTCGTGTTGCTTATTGTGCGGTGCAAGAAAAACTTCAATAGACTTGATTTCAAGTTGACGAGGAATCACTGTACATAGGCAAACAGACATTGAAACTTGTTTCAGCAAACTTGTTTTCATTTTGCTATTAGGGCTGCCGGCAATTGCATACAAAATAAGAAAACACTTTGTTAGGTTTTTTACGGTGGTATGTGGCTAAATATTACTTTCTTAATCTATAACTAAAGAGAGAGAACAAAAACATTCACATGATCTTGTGTAGAAGTGGTATATGAAAATCATGGCATTGCACACCTTAATAAATCTAGCATCAATAAGTTAATGTTACTGAGTTACTGTCTCTATCCTGTACAGTTTAACTGTAGCAGATAACTTAATTACATTACTTTGCTCCATTGACGCTAGAGTCGAAACACTATAGCCTAGAACTCATTTGCCGTTAAACCAGTGTCCTCGCAAAAATGACGTCGTTCGGGCGCTTACTCGTTCCTCGCAGGTCCCCCCGTCGCCAAGCTCAGGGAGCCACCGGCAGTGGCAATAGTGGCGAGGGGAGTCGGGTGCCCCCCGTGGGAAACCCGCCGGGCTCGGAGAGATTGGCGGCCGCTTCGCCCCGGGCGGGCGCGGCGGCTCCCGGTCGGGGCCAGCTCCCCTCCTGCGCCCACCACCGGCCCTCGAGGGAGAGCCCGCCCCGGCCCCAGTCCGACGCCTGTGCGCGGCACCTGCCCTGCGTCTACGGTGGGGCCACCCGGGGCAGCGTCGTGACCGCCTTCGTGGACCTGACGCAGTCCGACGAGGAGTCCTCCGGGGGTGCGGCCCACCCCGCCAGCCACTGCGTGCAACCTCCCCCGCCTTCCATCGTGCCGCCGGTGTCCTTGGCTTCCCACCTCGGGGTTGCGGCTGCCGTCCCACCCCCTCCGCTGCCCCCGCCTTTCCTCAACGGGTGAGCGTGCCGGACTAGCCGAGTTGCAGTCCCTTTTGCGCTTGCGACGCATTTGGTCGTTTGGGGTGCGGGGAGAGTCGATGACCGGCTTTTGTGAGTGATGGGTTAAAAACATAGGAGTAGTAGCTCGGGCCCTGTCCAGTGCTCGTTGGCCTCCGCCATACTTTGGCTGTGCATGCGACGAAAGCGGAAAGCTCGTGCTGGAGGCGGACAATCTACCAAACTCTTCACCCGTCGCCGACTAGATCAGTATCGCCGCGAAGTTCTAAAGGCTACATAGCCGGCGTTGGTGTCGATGTGATCTGCCAAGTGACCGGTAGAAGGCAGCACTGACACTGCTAGTGGTGCCACATGTGGGAACTGCGCCCCACTGTGCAATGAGAAGCTACATAATTGGAAGCATTTCAGAAATAAAAGACGCTAGAGAAATAGAAAAAGAAAATCGCTGGTAATGCTAAGCATTCATTATAGTATTAATGTGTAACTAGGTTTGTTTCTTTTTTCTTTTTTTTCTTGAATATATAGGTTTAAAAAGCTCCTGAAAAGAAAAGTTTTTTTTAACAATCTGGGTCGGACACGCGTGTCAAAAAATTAATTTGACTGGAAAAAAAAAATTTTTTTTAGAGTAATATTCTTGTCGCGAGACGTGATTTAGTTGGCGGTCACCTCCTTTCCACTTGCTTTCTGTCTCGGCATTTCGGGTGCCTGGGGCAGAGGTGGATCGGCTTCGCCTTTACGACCAAGATGGTCATTCCGCAATGACCCATGACGTCATAGACTTCGCGCACAGAATTTCAAATAAATCTCTCACCGTCAATATTGCTCTAAGAAATTTTTTTTTTTTTTTTCGTAAAACGTATTTTTTGTCATGCGTGTCCCAAGCAGACTGTTTAAAAAAAAAATTTTTTTAGGGGCTTTTTAACATGAATTTACGTGGGATTGCTTGCCATATGTGCTTGCTGAAAACCTTATTGCATGATCAACTTTGTTCTGGACTATTTTTTTAAAGACGAGGAGTGAAGTTTAGGCACTGCAAAAACACAATTGAGCTTTTGGTGTACAAAATTTAAGAGCAAAGACAACATTTTAGCGAACTGCAATTGATGCAAGGAAGTCCTGGAAGTGTCTTTGTAAGGTCAGACAACTTTTGCTAGTTTTTTTTCTTTTTCTTTTTATAGCGACAGCTGTTAGTGCGATTCTCACCAGGGGGTTGCGTGGTTGTCCTTTGCGGAAACTCCCGGTGCCCCAAGCGTGCACACGCAGCCAGAGTATGCGTCGAAAAATGAGCGCGTGCCGGAGGCCAGGCATTCAGAACAGACGCCGTCCTCACCAACTTTGATCTAGTAACGTTGGTCCTCCCCTTGACAGCGGGTGTAGCCTAAACCTCCACGACACAGCGCACGTGCACGACCATTCGAGAAGACGAACCTGCACGCCCTACGAAAGGTTTGTAACTGGTCCAAAGAATGCAACTTTCGGTTACGGCGTGCTGAGTAGGGTCGTCGTAGACAAAGTGCGAGTCGAGCACGGGAGTGGGAATCGATGGCAGAAGCGGAAATGGCCTGCAGATGTTCGGAATCATGTTCAGGAGGAGGCACACGGACTACGACGACGCCACGATAATAGTGAATCGTCCGAGTGCGGAGCTACTGTCGTCGTGACACACATTACGCGGCAGCGTAAATGCACTCGTATTTCTTCAAAGATGAGGTAATAGTATATGGTCGAGAGATTGGAAGGGACAGAATACTATTTCAAATGTACCGTAAAATACCGGGGGGAGCGCCCGCCCCGCTTTCACTGAAAACTAGGTTAATCTTGAGATGGCCGCTTGTCCGGTCAAATTGTGCGCTAAACGTATAATTTTCGGAATTCCCAAGTTTGGGAAAATATTAACAGTGGGCACTTGAAGAAACTGGGAGTGAAGATGTTCTTTCTTGGAGATTGCGCCGGGACCCGACGGCGGAGGCAGCTGATGGTCGCTGACGGAATAGTAAAGCAGACAGGACTCCGCGGATAGGAGGGGGAAAAAAAAATCTATTTACAAGCGAAGCTCATTTTCGAATGTCGCCGCAGAAGGTTACAGCACGTGCTGTCCTTGTCTTCTTCTCTTCTCAAAGCCTCCGCTGCCCCAGCTCGCACGAGCGTCGCCAGTTCACCCACACACAGGGGCGCACGTGCAAACGCCAACACGCAATGGAAAGAAAAAGAAGCTCGGTCCTGTTCCCACGTCCACCCACGGTGATGGCGGGGCCGATTCTCACACCTCCCGACTAAGTATATTTTTTAGACCCAAAATGTCAAAAATAATATATAACAACTAAACTCAAACGCGTACGCATATCAGACACACCTTACACAGAGTTTGTGACTCAACCTGTCAGCAGTGATGGAAGTGCTGCGCCAATTGCGCCAAATTGCGCCAAGGACGCAATCCTGCTACATGTAGCGCCAAATTGTCATTTTACCGACGAATTGCGCCATTCCTGCGCCGAGATGAGATGTAGCAATAAAAAATAAAAATTGAAGTCTTATCAGAGCGCGTGGCGGTGCCGCGGTGTTTTCCGCGCCGCAACTGTTACGCAAACCGAAACTGCGAGGGAGCATTATCATCATCATCATCATTGAAAGGAACAACGTTAGCAACATCTGAAACCAAAGCCGCAGAGGCTAAGCGAAGAATCATCCCACTAAGCAGCCTATTTAAAAAAAAAAAAAAAGTCTGAGCTTGGGGATGTTTTTAATGTAGGCCCAACCTGTTTCCATGCGCTAGCTACCAGCGAAGTCAAAGCTAGCGCGAGCCCAATGCTCTGTGAATTCCTGACTCGCGCGTGGGCTCGTGCAGTGTGGGCACCGTTGCGGGCTCCATGCGCGCGGCGCGCTTGTAACTTCGGCTGTGCTCGCACCGAAGCTGAAACGAAGTATAGTTGAGTTGCACCAAACTCTGGATGTAGTGCTGGTAAAGCCTCACCATTCTTTTCGCTGCACAAAGCACTGCGGGACTCGCGCGACTGCGGTATCTGCTCCGCGGGTGTCGCTTCTCTGCAGCGCGTCGGTGCATGCCAAGGAAAGACAACTCTATAATCTGAACTGAAACATTCCACAACAGTGAGGGTCGTTAGATTCTGCTGCAGATGCCTTAAAAGAAGTGCAGGCTGATAAAACTAAATATCCTGTACCATCAGAACTCAGTGTGACATATTTAATTGTATTTTTTATCTGACGAGCAGATACACTTTATTTTAAAAAATGTTTTTTTTTTGTGTTTACTTTGTTGAATTTGATATACCCTGTCTTAAAAAGGCGACAGGCGCTGTGTTCCAATAATAGAGATGGGCTTTATATGGCAATGCAGCATTATTTCATTTTCAAGTTATATGCCAACATATGCCGGACCCTGCTCCAAAAGGGCCACTACCTGCTCCAAAACAACATTTTGCCTGCTACAAGGCCTGCTCCAAAAGGTCAAATGGCACTTCCATCACTGTGTCAGAATCCAAACTATAAAAAAAATTACACCAAAATGCAAATCACACGCCAGTAAAGTGATTCTTACTGTGCCCACCAAGGCTCCAAAGCAGTGACAAATCTCGCGCCGAGACTAGCGCAGCATCTAGCCTCCTAGCCTCGGCCTCTTTGCCGACAGGTTATTCAAGCCACCCAGATTTCGGCGGGGCTTGAATCGGACGGTGTATAGCTGGTTCCGGAATTTTTTCGCGCAAGAGTGACGACAGTTCATACTTTGTCTTGATTTACGAATCAAAAAGGGGCCTCGCAGGCGGTCGTCGTTGTCGATGTCTTCTGCGCTCTCAGCTCTCTCACACGTGGCCGGCTGGTAGGTGGTCGAGTTTTCATCGGCGTCCCTAGCTATATTGTTTGACCACTTCATCTCGAAGATGGCGTCCTCGTCGCTGTCCCCGCTTTCCCTGACATCTTCACCGGCCGGCTGTGACGTCAGCCACCCTAACAAGATGTCCGGCTTCTTGCCGACACCCACTTCCCTGCCGTGGTCACTTTCAGCTTGCCAGAACGTCTGCCGCCAAAGCAAGATATTCGGTTCTTTCTCGTCGACGACGTTCACGTTCTCGTCGTAATCATCCTCCGCTAGAAGAAACGCCTGCCGCCCAGGCAATAAGTTTGGTCCTTCGTCGTTGTTCACGTTCTCGTCATGGTCATCCTGCCGCCCAGGCGATAAGCTCGGTCCTTTGCCGTCGTCCACGTTCTCGCCGTCGTCGTCCTCGGCTTGCCGGAACGCCCACCTCCCAGGAGATACTCTAGGTTCTTCCTTGCAACCGACGCCCATGTTCTCAACTTGGTCGTCATTGGCTTGCCGGAACTTGTGCAACTCAGGTAAGATGTCGGGACCGGCCTCGACGTTGTCGAAGTTCACACATGGGTCGTCCTCAGATTGCCGGGACGCCTGCCGCCCAGGCAAAGAGTACGGCCTTTCGTCGTCGACGTTCACCTGCTTGTCGTGGTCGTCCTGGGCTCGCTGGGACGTCGTCCAGGCACGCGAGACGTTCAGCTCATTTCTGTCGTCAACGTGCGCCTGCACAGACACACAGCTGCGATTGTTCTTTGACGACCGCTTCGTGTCGTCGGCTTGTAACAGAATCTGAGGCGCCTCGCGGACCCATGGGTGCAGCCTCTTCTGGCCTTGGAGGTTCAAGTTGCTACCGTCGGTCTTGCCCACATCGGTCGTCACCTTGTCGGGCTCACGCCTGGAGTCTTCCTCCACAGTGACATTCTTGGCGTCTACTCTTTTCTTGTGAAACCGAAGTTCTTCGAGTGGTGTCTTCGTCCGGGGACATTCGCGGGAAAGGTGCCCCAATTCCTTGCATTTAAAACACTTCACCCGATAATATTCAGGTATAATGCCCTGCCTTGGGTTCTCTTGTTTTTCCTTGAGAGAAGTGGTGGTTTCAATAAAGGGCCTCCAGGCCTCAGCTCGCGACAGTCCGAGCTCTAACAAGACCCATCCTTTGACCGCACCATACCCACTTCTCTCACCCGTGTTCATCCTATTCACTAGTGCACGCATGCTCTCCGTGAAATATGGTCGCACAAGATATCCTCTGAGCCGCTCAGGGACTTGATATGTCTCGAAGACGTTTTCTACGCCATCAAACCAGCTCGGCACTAATATGTCGGACGACGGCATGGGAGTCAGCACTCCCTTCATCAATCTCGAAAAGCGAAAAACTTCATCTCGGAGGTTGAACTCCATGCCGCCTCCACTGGCTCGCCTTCGGTTTTCTGAGCGTAGATGTTCTAGTTCTAGCTCGAGGCGTAACAGCCGTTCTTTCTCCCTCACTAGTTCTATCTCCTTTTCAATTAAGCTGTCTGATCGGATTCCTCCGTTCCCCTCCCCTTGTGTCTGCGAGTTTGCCCCTAATCCACTCGAAGGTGACGATTCAGCTGGCCCGTCAACATCCCTATTCCGACCCCTATTCCGCTCGGGCATTAGAACCGGCATCCGCCGCTCTGCACTGTCTGTATCCATGGCGGGCACACGTCAAAGAATTACCTTACCGTAAGGTCAACGACTGCCGCTGGATCACAGACGCAGCCTACTGCTCAGAATAGTCAGGCACGAAAATGATGTCCGAGCTGCAGACTCAGGCGTTCCTCGCTGGAGTGGGACGTCATCAGGTCCGAGGTAGCTCTGTCACCACGAAGTAGCTCGGTGGTCCAATCTCCAAGGAGCTCGGTGGTCCAGTCTTCTCTGTGGAAGGCTCCACCAGTGCCGCGTCAAGTCGCTGTCCGCCGATTCCGTTGTGAAGATCACGCCGCCGGGGTCCGCTGACGCAATCCTGTCGACTGCGCCAGTGAAGATGTTCTTTCTTGGAGATTGCGCCGGGACCCGACGGCGGAGGCAGCTGATGGTCGCTGACGGAATAGTAAAGCAGACAGGACTCCGCGGATAGGAGGGGAAAAAAAAAACACATCTATTTACAAGCGAAGCTCATTTTCGAATGTCGCCGCAGAAGGTTACAGCACGTGCTGTCCTTGTCTTCTTCTCTTCTCAAAGCCTCCCCTGCCCCAGCTCGCACGAGCGTCGCCAGTTCACCCACACACAGGGGCGCACGTGCAAACGCCAACACGCAATGGAAAGAAAAAGAAGCTCGGTCCTGTTCCCGCGTCCACCCACGGTGATGGCGGGGCCGATTCTCACAGTGGGCGCTTCCACGGTATTTTACGGTAGACTGGAGGAGAGTGCTGGAAGGCAGCAAATATATACATATCCAATCTCTCGAGACCAAACTCCCATCCATAAGTCTGACGAATTTGTTAAAAGATTATACTAGATTATGTATCTTATTTTGTTTTCTCATTTTAGAACAATGGCTGTTATAGGGACTTCACAGTTGCATTCGCAGCATCGGTGTTGCACTAGGCAGAAAACTTAAGTTCACCCCTAGGACAAGAGATAGCGGCCATGTGTCCAGTGACTGCACGCTGGCAGGGCCATTGGGCTTTGAGCCTGCTCTATGCACTGGAGGCAACCGAGGGAACTCGAGGAAATTCGCGGCCGCCGGTTCAGCAAATGGGACAAGAAAACCTGCAGGCTAGGTTCCTAGCACCGCGGGACTGCCCGATCGAAAGGGAAGAGCCACAAACGATCGTCAATGGCGGTGCCACGGGCCGGCACCAGGCTCAGGACCAGGCACGTAGCAAGGGGGGAGGCCCATAAGGCCCAGCCTCCCCCCCAATATCTTCCATTTTGCTGGGACCTCCTCCCCCCTCCCCCTCATACAGCATTTTGTCATGGGCGGGCCCCCCCGAAACAAAATCCTGGCTATGTGCCTGCTCAGGACGTTTGCAAAGGAGGAGTTACACCGGCGGATCTCCGAATTTCAGCTTAAGGGGGAACCGCACAGAGTTGGGACACACTCAGACAAGAGGGAATACGAAAGTGTCGAAGTGAAGCGTGAACACCCGCTCTTGCCGAGCCGTCGCTTCGTCGTGCAACGAGGCGAAAAGCTGCAGATTGTTTTTCGTAACTCCCATCTCATTCGTTTTTCAGATCGTTCTTATTCCTGTTTGACCCGTAAGGACGGAGACGCACGCGGGGTGGAAGCGTTGGTCGGAGATTGTGCAATCATTGAGGGGGAAAAAAAAATGAAAGAAACAATTGACGATTTTTTTTTTGGCTCGTTAGGACGGCCTCCTTGCCCCCTCCCTCTCCCTGAGCGGGCGTCCCGGTCGTGTAACGCAGGGAGGGATGCTGCATCCGGGTGCACCGAGGTCCCCCCGGGGCCCCCTTCTGCCCCCTGGGGGCCGCCCAGCTGCACTCGCACCTGCACGGCCTGCACCACGGCTACCCGCAGTCCGCCCTGGGACCCCCGGGGCTGGCCGGCTGCCGCTACCACCCGGCGGGGCCGGAGCAGCACCCCCAGCAGGCCCACCAGCAACCCCACTCGCAGCAGCCCCACTGCACGGGGGACGCCGGGGACTCATGCGCCCGCACCACGGTGAGTGGCTATGACAGTTAAAACTTTGTGCTGCTGCCCGCTGCGATCCTGGCGGCGGCGGGTGCGGTGAACTTCTCTTCTGCCGTAGTTTGCTCTTGGCTCAACAGTCCGCAGAAGGTTCTGGCCGGCGTTTTTACGACGGCCGGCAGAGATCGCGATGTCCGACAGCACGACTGCCACGACATAGTTTGTTGCTACTTTGGGATCTCTCCCAACGCATAAGTGGTGTTTGCGTTTCCGGCGGCTCACCGCTCGCCCTCTCCTGGCAGAAACGGGAAGCGCTCTAGTGAGGGTTCCCCCAGTTCTCCCGCTCGGCGGGCAAAACAAAACCGCTCGCAAGAGGGTTGAATATTGTCCACACTATTTGATTGCAGCAGTGGTTTAATAATTTGTAACAGCTGTAAAGTTTTTGTATAAAAATTGATTGCAAGGGCAGCTTCCCTTCAATTCATGAATTGTGGTTTTTTTATATGCGAAATATTTAAATTAAAAATTCAAAAACAGACCAAATACCCAGATGTCCCGATCTTGGTTTGAATGCAAGCAGCACAATGGTTTGTCTTTATAACAATAAAATAGACAATGTTTGAATCAAGCAATGGCTCGAACCCCCAATTATGTTTATGACTTATGTTTATCACTACATTATACCAGGCCATAGCTGGGAACGAGCTCTTCAGATACTGCCATCGTCTCTCGGGTCTACCTTGGCAAAGTCAGACTTTGCCAAGGTAGACTTGAAGTTTGTCGGTGGTGTTGCGTGTACAACGAACACGAACACCACAAAGAAATTGTGACTTGGAATTGCTGAGCGTCAACTTTATTTGAAATCACTTCGTGCTGCCTGTACTTGTTTCGTCTTCGGTTTTAAAGAGTTTGCCAATACTGTTGTAAATTCTTGAATGTACCTTAAAAGTGCCCGTTCTCTTTGGGTGCCCCCGCGGTTTCAGGGAACTGCCGGCCCCAGCGGTGACCCTTGCCGGGGTTACGGGCCCTGCTTCGGCCATGCAGCACCTCCTCCAAGCATGATGATGGCCCATGCTCACGTCTACCCAAGTAAGCTCTTCATCTTTTTTAATGCGAAAGCATTAACTGTCCCATGGAGCAAGCCGACGTCATCAGTTTGAAGCAGCCCCATGCCACTACGGGCCCCGCGCCGGTTAAAACGGATACATTGGCGCCACCGACCAACATGCCATCGCCTCCATCATCCACATCGTCGCCAATGCTTCTGCCACAACTTGAAAACATTACTCGCGCCACAAAGTCTGCGGATCACTCCGCGGCGTTTTATTAGACATTGATGCGTTTGCATTCACAACTCATAAGAGGTGCTTAGGTGTCTTCTGACTTTTCGGGATTACTGTTGTGGTGCTGATGCGTTTTTTCTTTCTGGACATAACCTTTTGGTTTATGCGAGATGTCTGTACAGTGAAATGCCACTTGAACGAACTCCAGTCTAACAAACTACCGTATTTACACGATTGTAAGTCGACCTCCCCCAACAATGCACCTCGGCAAAAAAAAAAAAAAAAATGTGCATTTTATTGCGAACATGTGAGAACGGCAAAGTATCTGTTTCGAAAGCCCAGCCTACAACATGCAATCTATGCCTTCTGGCATGCTCCTGTGCATGCACGTGCGAGGTGCATGAGATGCCCAGGCATTATCGAAACCAGGAAGTTCACGCTGGAGGCGGGACAACCGAAGCTCCCTGTTGTTCTCACTCTGTCCACGACTAGACTATGACTCATCCTCACTGGTGATGTCAGTCCCATCATCATCACTGCTACGTTCACGAAGCACGTCGTCGGTGTCATTCAACGAAATCTCCCAGTTTTCAAATGACCGCATCTTCCGCGCTCGCTCGTTGATAGCGTTGCACGTCACAGGTAATTAGGGACAGGTTGCTCACTTTTGCGGCGTACGTTGCAAGTCTTTGGCCTGCAGAAGCCTCTTCGTTCGCCATCATACTTAAAGATGCCGCGCCATTGCAGACTCCACTGGAGCATCACCCGCTCCGACGGGTCGAACTTGTGTCCAATAGCGCAGTTGTTGATTGTTTTTGGATGAAGAATGACGATAAACGAGCACCGAAAACCTAAATTGCCCGGATAATGCATGTCAAAACAAAGAAAAACGTAGTTAGCACTCCAGCATGATTTCGACACTCGATCGAACGATGTGGGACCGTGAATCGCTCGAAAAACTGCAAAAAGATGCCGTGGGGAGGGAGCCGTGAGGCTGTTCCAGCAGCCTCCAGAGTGGCTGTTACAAGAAGTGTCGCTACCCCCAGAAGTCGGGCGCGCGGTGCGCTGTTCACCGCCGTACATTCGGGTTCATTTGCGAATTGCTATTAATAATAATCGTTTGCGCAAATTTAAAAAAAAAAGAAATTCGTAAATTGAGTGCACAGAATAGCACAATACTGCAGGCACAGCTGGCACAGCTGGCTGAACTCGTAACAAGTGGAGGTGTTCTTGATATCATGATTGTTTTGTTTTTGTCGGAGGTGGAATGCTTTGGTTCGATTATAAGTTGACCCCCCCCCCCCCTTTCAGATTTAAAAAAATTGAAAAATGGGTCTACCTCCATTTGTGTAAATACGGTATTTAAGCAAAATTTCATAAAGTTCCCTAGGGAGACCGCATTTTGGCCTTCAATTGAATGAACTTGCACCTAATAAGCAAACTTTTTCTTGAGAGGTTCATTTGTTCAAGCCGTATTTCACTTTATTTTATTTTTATTTATTTATTTACAATACCGAAAGCCCTTTCGGGCTGTTGCAGGAGTGTACAGCAATAAAACAACAGAAATAAAGAACCAAAGATAAAGAACAATCACCGCAATACAATCATTTGAGTACAATTTCGGTTGAACCACACCACCGAAAGTCACCATTACCAAGGAATACTAGTATTTCTCTGCATATAAATCAAATAATAGAGCTTCAAACTTATCGGCACTTCCAATCCCAACAAAGAGGTCGCCATCCAAACTATTCCACTCCTCAATTGTTCTTAGAAGAAAAGAGTACTTAAAAACATTGAGATTTGGTGAATACGGCTCGACTCCAAACTGATTATTAACTCTTGGGGACCTTCTACCAGGAAGCTGCATACCTATATAGTCACTCGAACTGATGTTATAATGCCCATTGTAGAGTTGATAGAAAAATTTTAACCTTCCAATTTTTCTCTGCTGACCGAAGGTTGGCAGCCCCGCTTTTTTTTAATAGTTCTGTTACCGATTCCGTGCGGCGATACTCTGAATAAACAAATCTTACTGCCCGCCGCTGGATACGCTCAAGTTGTTCTATTTGATATTTGACATATGGATCCCAGATCACGTACGCATACTCAACAGATGATCGAACTAGAATCTTGTACGTAAATAATTTAACCTCAGGCGTCGTATTTTTGAGCGCCAGTCTTAAAAACCCAAGTTTTCGCAAAGCCGCACTACAGACATTTTCTATATGTACCCTCCAGTTTAGATCATTAGAAATTGTGACCCCTAAGTATTTAAAAGTTTCGGATTGTTTCAAAAGTGCACCATTATAGGAATACGGAAATATATTAGGCGACCTTTTTTTTTGTGATTGTTACAAAAGTTGTCTTTTCAAAATTTATCTTCATATCCCATTTGTGACACCACTCGTGCATAGTCATTAACGAGTCATTTAATAGCATTTGGTCCCGTTGTGAATCGATAAAGGAAACTATAGATAGTGTTCTTTTATCGATTAGATCAGAGATAGTGAAGCTTTCTGGTATCTTGGAATCCTTAATTACCGCATTTACTCGCATAAAGAACACACTTCTTTCTGGAAAAATTGACACACATTGCGCGAATATCATATTAGGTGCCAATATGACATGGCAGAGTACTGTGGCATGTCCCCACTCACAGAGGCGCACCCATGGCTGGTCGTAAGCAGACCACAGTAACAATGCTCTATAAATTGCGAACCTTTTTTAGGGCGCTTTTGGCGTGTCTTTTACTGAAGAAAAAGTGCCCTACGAAGCTCACTCAGCGCGGAGAGCGACGCAACCGTTTTTTTTCACAATATCACTGGTACTTCTACACGCAACAGCTCGTTCCGTGTTTAAGGGAATTAAACCTGCTGTGCAAATGATGATAGCAAAAAGTTGCACATACTTAGAAAGCAAAGTAGACAATGTCTTTTGATGACAGGCCAACAGATTAATCTTAACTTTAGATATTTGCAGTTGTAGGAATTAAAATTAAATGTAAACTTCTGCCCCAAAAGTTCCATTGGGTGCTCCAAAATGGAGTCTTAGCTGCTCCAAAAGGTGCTCCAAAATGACTTGAACCCGTGACTTTACTGATAGCCAATTGCTGCGATTTGCAGAAAAATGGCAGCGATATACTGGACAGAGATGACGCCTTCACGCAAAAATGCCATCTGCTCGGATCGCATTTTTAAGAAGAATCGTATTCTCGATGTCACTATTTGCCACGTTTTTTATGCGGAGTGCAACAATTGGCTGTACGTGTGTTCCGCCGGAAAATAGATGCTAGGACCTCTTCCGTAAGAAGTGGGGCTATTACTTGAGCAAATAGGGTAAACACCCTGGAGACAGGTTGAAATGTTTATCTCATAGTTGTGCATCAGTTGACAAGTCAGCTCCACTGAACTTTTGTCCAAACTCAATAAACACATCGCTAGGACGGGGTCAATGGAGCGTAATCAATCTCTGAGGAGCCCATAGGTTAACCTGGTCTTTGATCCTGCGGACAAAACGACGGTTGCTACTGGAAAGACTATTAGGAAGCCCCTGACCCCCTTGTTCAAACTATTGATTAGAACAGCAGGGAGGAGCTTCAGTTGTCCTGCCTTCTGAAACTTTAGCTCACTGCTTAATTCCTTGTAACTTTCAGTCGTGTCGGTTTCTTTCTTTACGTCTTTTCACTCGTCGTGCTTCCTCGCTTCCACGCCCGTCTTACCGAACGTGTCGCCGTCCCGTTGCAGCCTCGGCGAGCCCGCACCTGGGCTACCTGGCGGCCACGCAGTCCAGTGCTGGGCCTCCCCTCAACCTGGGCCTCAACCCGGGTGCCTCCCCCTATGCTGCCTATGGCCCCACTGCCCCCAGTCCCCACCACGACTTCTCCCGGCCGCCGACAGCCGCCCCCGCCATGTTTGCCAGGATGAACCCAACCCACACACGGCTATGGCAGGTAGGTGGGGAAATACCATATTTACTCGCGTAGCAAACTCGCTCCAGTAGCTTTATGGGCTACACTTTGGAAAGATTGTCGTCGTCGTCGCGCATGCGAAGAATGTAAAAACTTTCTCCCCTCCTGCCGCGAGGAGAGGGAAGTCCAGACTTCCCGTTGGCCGTGCTGCTTGAACAGAGCGAAGAGGGCAGCTCTGGCGTCCCACCGAGATTGGCGCGATGATGGGAGAATTCTCGTGTCATCTGCTTGATAGACTTGTTTTCAAACATTATTCGCGTTATGTGAAATCCCACTTTGGCAGTATCCAGTAGCTAAGTGTAATATTGGATGGTTTTAAAAGCTTCCACTGCCCTTACCCACTCACTTCATTGAGCACTGGTGGCGGTCGGCAGTGGCATTCATGACGCCTACCACGACGGCTATGAGGATTAGCTATGTCACACCTCTGTCTTCAGTTACATAATGGCACCATTCCACCCGCATTATGCGACGATGCTACAGCTATCGTTTTCATTTTGGGCATTTACTCATTTTGTGTAAATGTCACTATGGGGGCCCATCTGACAGGAGTATTACTGCGACACGCGTTTACCGACGGAGGGGTACCTGCAGCCAGTCATGGGCGTACCGCATTAACCGTGCACTACAAAGTGCAAACCTTTTTTAGAGCACGTTCGACATTATTCTTGCTAAAGAAAAGACTGCCTCCGAAGCTCACTCCGTGCGGAGAGTGACACAAGCATTCCTTGGCCTAACCGCTTTCGTGACTTCGTTGTTCGAAAGCGAACCACAGATGACTGTGTTTTTTGACATCAATGCATCCGATGGACGACGGGGGCTGGGTGATTCCTCAACACCAGCTTCGTTGGTGGTGCACGCCGCTTGCTTCCGGTGTAATCACTTCCGCAATTTTCCACTTGCAGCCATAATGGGCAATTGTGCTGGCATGCTTGGCTTGGCCTGACCACTTGGCGACTTAATCGGCTTGGTGGCTGGCTGGTTCAGACGCAGTTCAAAACTCTTGAAGGCAAAAAATGGAAGTGCATTCATTAGGTGACGGGAGAAAAAAAAAATCAAAATATTGATAAGTGATTTGGGGGGTACATTCATTATTTAGGTAAATACAGTAATTGTGGTACTTACGAGTGCAGCAAGCCCCTGTTATAACAAAGTCGGTGGGACAGTGCGCAAATTAATAACAAAATTTAAAAAATAAATAAATAAAAATTATCCAAACGAAGCCCTAAAAAAAGTGACCCAACGTTTCGAAACCTACTTTGTTTCTTTTTCAAAGGTGACTGAATCGTACGGGAGAGCAGCAATATAAGCAGTATATCAATAACAGCAGGAATTCTGAATTATTGTTGCAATAGCCACAAAAGAGGTATCGAAAAACTTCCAGCCTTTCCACTCTGGTGAAAAAGGAAGACCAGTGAAGCTGTACTATGGTGGGAATGAAGTAATGGCCGGCTGCAAGTCGGCAAGCCAGAGTGGAAAAGGCTGAAAAGGTTGCCGCCATCTATGAGCGACGGCAGCAACCAGACAACTGGCAAGCTGCTTGCCTCCGTCGCTTATAGATGGGGATAGCTGTCCGGAGTGTTGGGGTCGACATTTATTTGCTGGACTACACGATCCTCAGGAAACTAGCCCTTAACAGCTACGCTGTAAAATGAATGTTTGGATGACCGTGCAGTCTCTTTGAAGACTTAGTTTAAACCTGGATGTCCGTGCGTGCCAAATTTATGTGGTGCCGAGGTACCACCAAAGGCAGCGAGCCGCACAATATGTTTCTTACAAGCACCGAGAACCATTGTTGTGCAATTGCACAAGACATGTACCGCAGGCAAATGGTGCGTCGCCATATGCTTCCAAAGGCTGCATAAGACACGGACGTAGTGCATTGGTGCCTTTCACATTACATACTCATAAGACAAGCAAAGACATTAAGGGGCTTTAGGTAAAGCCACTAGAAGATACTCATTGTCATTTCTTAAAAGCTGTCTTTGTGGTGTGCAATGTGCTTCATTTTGTTCTTGACAGGCCCAACAACGGATGCAAGATATGCAGAGACGGCGCATGTACCAGCACACACTGTACATGCAGCGGTAAGTGACACCTACCCCTCACCAAAGCATTGCGCCTAACAAAAATCTGTCCGTGGCGTCCTCAAACACGGTCAAGAGTCCTCGGGCATCGCTCGAGCACCCGAGCGTGCTCGACACTTCCTACACCAAACTGACGTCGAACACTTTTCCACTTTTCCAGCTTTGGCCGAGTTCCAAAGCGTACCCGAACTATGTAAGGATGTCGCGCTATGAAGGCCCATTCACACGGGGGCACTTGCTTCAGTTTTCTTCAGTTACGTCGTGAATCGCCGAGACATCCGCGCTTTATACATTTGTGCAAGGCTACTCCTTCGACTAGTTGCCGCACTGCACACAAAGCACGGATATCCCGGTGACTCTCGACGTAGGCGGAAGTTTGTTGTAATGTGACGTAACAAAATGGGGCTGTGTGAACTGGCTTTACTAGATTTATCGTAGCCGCTTCCGCTTCGTCCGTCTCCAGGCGTTGGGGCCTGGTACCGTGGACCATCTTTCTTCTCCCTCCCCTTTCAACACAATGTGTTCTACGAGTTGTTTTCTGTTAGATAATCATGAACGAACATCGTAGCCAGCTTTATGAACGAGCGACACTCTGGAAGCGTTACAGACGTTGGGTTATATACAGGGTGGGTTCCTTTTTATCCAATAAAGATTTTTCTAATAAAAGTTGCGAAAGCTACACAAATGCAGTCTGTGCAAGCGAGTTAAACGGACAGGTGGACGTTATGTTCAAGAGAGAATGCAATTAAAAGATTACTAATTAACGAAAATACAGTAATTAATTTTTTTAATTGGATGTTTTAGGGCACATGTTTAAATTAACCCAGTTTTCAGTAAAAGTGGGGTGGGCGCTTCCCCTGTAGTTTACGGTATATTAAAGAAATGCAGGCGATCAATGTTGAAGGCCAGCCCAGTTCAAGAATCCTGGATCGAGCACGCAGTTGGAGTTATTCATTGTCAAATTTTTTTATGGAAATCTGTCGACGCCGAAACCAAATGCACGACGCCCGCCGATAGGACAACCCTCATTTGACGCCGGACGTTCACGTGTTAATGACGAAGTTTGCATCGCTATTTTGCGTCGCAGCGCACTTGAGCCAATAGCAGTCTATGTTGTGTGGCTGGAGAACTAAAGCGATAAGCCACTTTATCGGCTGCGACAAGTTGCTTTGCTTTGCTGCACGATATCGCTGAAAAATATTTTAATTGTGGGTCCGAGTCGGGGATATCGTGCAGCAAAGCAACTCGTCACAGCCGCTAAGGTGGCTTCTCGCTTTAGTTTGCCAGCCACGGAGCACCGACTGCAATCGGCTCCAGCGTCAAACGAGGCTTGTCCTTTCGGCGGGCGTCGCAAGTTTGGTTTCGGCGTCGACAGATTTCCAGAATGAAATTTAATAACTCCTACTGCATGCTCGATCCAGGGTTTATAAAATACTGGGCCGGCCTTCGACATTGATTGCCTTCATTTCTTCTATATAAACATGTACCCTAATACGCCTAATGAAAAAAGTAATTGGAGAATTCATCTGTAATTACTGGTCATCTTCTAGTTGAATTCGCTCTTGAACATAATGTCTGCCTGTCCGTAGAACTCATTTGCAGAAACCACATTTGTGTAGCTTTCACAGATTTATTTTAGAAAAATCTGTGCCGTAAAGTTCCGAGAGAACGCCCGCCCCCGAGAGATCGCCCATCTTTTTTTTCTGGCTAAATATCTAATACAGTAGAATCTCGATAAACGGAAATCGCTTAAGCGGAATTGCCGCTTAAACGGAACAGTAGCCCGTAAGTTGGTTGGTTTTGTATTCAGATAAGGTAAAAAAACTTTCGGTAATTGGAACTAAAATTTGCGCTTCACTGTGTAAACGGAACCGAAAATAGAACTTCTGGCAGACCCATTGCCATGAGCATCAGCCCTTTCCGGTTCCGGCTGTTTCTTTTTTTTTTTCTTTTCTAGCCTCGTAAGCCTCGTTGGCCTCGCCTCGTTGGTAGTCGGCGCAACGAATGCAACACTGCTGTTCTTGATCAAGTCGTTCGGTCTCTGTTCGAGTTGCCTAGGTTACAGCCGCATCGTTCCTGCCGTCGTGGTGCCTATCGTGCTTCATTGCCGCGTTGGTGTCTTCCAACTTCGGTGGCTAGTAAGCGCTCGCGAAGTTGAGGCCTTGCCTCCGTTGTTTCAATGGCGACACAGAAGCGGGCACACCATGCGCTGACGTTGGAAAAGAAGATGGACGTCATTCTTGACTTCGAAAGCGGCTCATACTCGAAGACGGCGCTCGCGACGAAGCACGGCGTCCCGAAAAGCAGCTTAACGAGGATCCTGCACGACAAGGACAAACTACAAGATGCCTTCGAAACTTCGCGATTCGGGCCCCCCAAAGGAAGCGTCTGCGACACGGCGACCACGAAGAACTGGAGAAGTGCCTGGTTTTGTGGCTTAGGGGAGCCCGGAGCCAGAGCATTCCCATCAACGGGCCACTAATCCGTGCCAAAGCAGAAGAGTTTGGCACGGATTAGTGCCAAACTCTTGTTGGCTTAAGGAGCCAGAATCGGAAGTGTTTCTCCAAAGCCTAAGTGACATGGAGAAAAAGATTCTGAAGATGAAGATGCAAGGACTCAAACAAAAGAAAATTGATGCATTTTTCAGTCCACAGTGATTAACTGCTGCCTAATAAACTTGTGAATGCTATGTAAAAACCTCATGTAGTTTCCTTGCTTTCTAAAAAACTATGAGTTACATTCACCTCATAGTGTTTAGACATTCATAAAATAGTATTAAGAGAGTGTGCACACATAAAATCGTCACTTTTTACATCTCTCTTAGTAAACGGAACTCCTGTTAAATGGAACAAATTTTTTTGGTCCCTTGGAGTTCCGTTTACTGAGAGTCTACTGTATAAAAATTCCGAATCATCTCCCACCCCCCGATTTCCGTCGGATGTCACACGATGTCCGACGGGAATCGCATCAACTGCGCAATTTGCTGTAACGGCACGTCTGACACGCAAGTTCGTAGCAGGTTCCCACTTTTTTGTCCGCAATCTGCGTGTGCGATATCGGCTCCCGTAACACGCGAGTTGTTCCCGCGCGTATGTTGCACCGGGAAATGCGAATCTGCTGCGTCCACAATCTGTGGTATTCGTTCCCATGACATAAAACTTGTAGCGAATTCTCGCTTTTTTGTTCGCGATCTGCGCGTGTGATATCGGTACCCGTTACAGGCAAGTTTGTAGGGGGTTTTCACGTGCTTATTGCACCATGAAACGTGAATCTGCTGCGTCCATGATTTGCGGTGTTTGTTCCCGTGAAATGAGAGTTCTCGGCGGGTTTCCGCGCCACAACCTGCGGTATCCTTTTCTGTGACGCAGGAATTCATAGTGAATTCCCGCATGTTTATCGCATCACGAAATTCAAATTTGCAGTGTCCATGATTTGCGGTATCGGCTCCCACGTCACGTGGTTTGTGTCCAGTGCCAGAATGTTTCTTTTAATTTTGATAAAGTTATGCTGTAGCATCTCCAAAGGTAGTTTGCCCCATATTTTTCACCATTTATCTCTTCATTTTGGGTGGGCGTTCTTTCAAAATTTACGGTATTTGACAAAAAAAAAAACTATATAAAGTCATAAAGCTTGAGCTCCGGGGCTCAAAACTGGGCTGGTGGAGTGGCAGTCAGATGCTGTAGGCCTTGTAGACCGCAGGTCTTAGGTGCCCGTTTCCGGCTTGAGTGGCGTCGCCGTCACAGTGCGCTACATTATGGGTAAATTTCCCCGCTAAATTTAGCGGAAAAATTTCCCCGCTAATTCTAGCGGAAGAATTTCCTTGCTAAATTTAGCGGAAAAATTTCCTCGCTAAATCTAGCAGAAAAATTTCCCCACTAAATCTAGCTAAAAAATTTCCCTGCTAAATCTAGCGGAAAAATTTCCCCGCTAAATCTAGCGGAAAAATTTCCCTTGCTAAATCTAGAGGAAAAGTTTCCCCGCTAAATCTAGCGGAAAAGTTTCCCCGCTAAATCTAGCGGAAAACTTTCTCCACTAAATCTAGCAGAAAAATTTCCCCGCTAAATCTAGCGGGGAAATTTTGGTCACGTGACCCTCAGTACCCTTCCCTCCTCCTCCTCAAAAGCTGCGCTCTAATTCGGTGATACAGGGAGCTGTAAACGGCTTTCACTTTTTCACTTACTCTGGTAACTAGCCACCCGGTAGGCATATCCAGTATGGGTGACGAAAAAATAATAAAACATTTCAACCTGTGAATAGGAAAAAAATGAAGGGCAGACAAAACGAGAATGGGTGATGGTTACGCTTATATGCTAAATGTATTCTATTAGTGTGACGACGGCGAAACAATGTTTTCGCCCTTACTGGAAGTGACGGTATTTCAAGATGATGGTGGCCATAGCTGTTTGCACGACTGCTGAGCACACGCTAATGACAAGCTTCCACAGTTCTTTTGCCACGTGCATTCTGCACCATGAAGATTGTCGGTCTTAGTAGCCTAATAAGATGAGCTCGTTCCGAGTATGCACTGCAAACAGCGCACTCAAATATGGTGTCCAGTGAGTACCCTTTATAGCCACTGAGCTGCTATCACAGGTGGTCTGGAAAAGTAAATGATTTTATTTGAATGGAACGGTGCTGGCAAGAGTGGCAGGTTCTGGATAAAAATAATTGATAAAATAAATAAACAAGCATCAAAAAATATATATATAATAAAATAAAAATAAATTACAAAAATCTTCAAAAAAAAATAGATCATAAAGATAATAAAAATCTAGCACAAACCCCACACGAAGCAGGTTTGTGCGGGACACATGGTGTGCTTCCTGGTCCTTGTTGGCACGATCGAGCCGGTATGATTTCTTCCTCCCCCACTGCTCGGCTCTGTTTCTCGCCTCCATTTCTGGAAGATAAGTGACTGCAATGTGTGTTGTGGCTGCAGGCAACAGCAGGAGGCCCTGGCCCTGCAGCGCCTGATGGAGGCCCAGAGCCAGCAGCAGGGTGGGCCGAGTGGCGCCCCGCCCCTGTTTTTGTGCCCTGACGGGGCGGGGCCCGTCCTGGCCCCGTCGCTGCACCCCCCGAGCGGCGCCCAGCAGCCGCAGGGGGGCCCCTCCCCGTCCCCAGCCCACCCCGAGGGGGCCCCCTCCCCGATGGGTGCCCGCTGCTCGGCCCTCACCCCGCCCCCCATCCAGGTGGCCAGTGAGGCCGTCGTGCTGGACCCCAACGTTCAGGCCGAGGTGGTCATCGCCTCCCCCTCCAGGTGGGCACTCCCCCTTCTCGTTTCTCGATGTGATCTGGGTCAAATTGCCATCTCCCCGTCGAAACGGGGACGTGATGTGATTTGGGTTAAACTGGGAACAAACTGACCTTGAATCGGGTCATTTGATTCTCAAGCAGTGTATGGTTCACCAGAAGTCAGCCTCCCGTGACTTCATGTCGAGCGAAAAACGAGTGGAGTTATCGCTGTACTAATAGCTAGGCCCGCCGCCGGTGCGTAAAAATCAACCCCAAAGAAATGAATTGTCCTTTCCGCTGCACAAGATGAACTTTCGAGTCATCCTCGTGCGAAATATTGTCTTCCTCCCAAACTGTATTCGCGACTCCAACTAACTATAGGTGGCGCCACTCATTTTCCAAGATGGCGGGTTTAGTGAGGGTCAGAAATGCGTGCCACTGTTGAGCCTGTCTAGTGTGCTGGCTTCACTGAGCGACATAAATTATTTCTGGTTATACGAGGAAGCTAATGTTTTATGAGCGCAGGTCACCTCTTTAACCTGAAAACAAGAACAGTGTTTAGCGTATTAATTACGGAAGGATGCGCGTTTTAATTCTGGAGCGAAACCGAAACTTACCTGTACTTCGGATTTAATTTCTCGACAGAGGTCTTAATTTCGGATTCTTTCATGGCTCAAGATGTGTCTCACATCGTAATTATTTACATAGAAAAGTTGTTTGCGGAAACTTTATTTTGTGACATACTGTTGGATCCAGGCTGATATTCGTCGTCGTTTAAAAAAGTCAGTGCTGATAGCTGTGCGTTCTCGCTGCCTTTTTCTCGCTCAGATAATTGTCATGGGAAATAATGACAATTATCCCAGCACAAGAATAAAAGAATAATTCCAATTTTTACAATATGTCCACGAAACGCATAAACTAATAAACGCTGCTCTCACTGCAACAGCCCAAGACGAAATCCGAGTCAGACAGCTGAAGTGTGTGTGTGTGTTTTTATAGCACCGTGTGACGTGTAGGACTTCATTTTACATCCGGCATTTAACTGTTTGTCTATCGTGATAACTATGTCAGAGTTTTTCCTATGCTAAAAAGAAAACAGAATTATACCTTTCTGGGAAGACTATTATGGTTAAATAGAGTGTTCTCGTGAGCTTGGCGTTAATTAGAGGCATACATTGCCGCGATTTGTATTATAATAATGATATTAGAATTCACATATTTGAATAAATAATTATTCAAGGTCTAATGTAATTTGTTGCTTATGATCTAATTTTAAACGTGCAAAGAAATATGACAATGAAAACTGTGCTAATTATCATCACTGGTTCCAATTGCTGCATTTTAATTACAAATAAAATAAAAATAGTCTAAAATCAATGAAAACATTCTAGCTAATGTGAGAAATCCATGTAAAATTACATTAATTGTGGGTAAAGTACAGGGCCGGCGTTAGGCATGGGCGAGCGGGGCGGGCGCTCTGGGCCCCACGCTTACGACAGGGCCCCGCAAGTGACAGAGGGGCCCCGCGGTCACTCGCCAGTTGAACTTTTTGTAAAATTTCAACATCGCCACTACAGATAACTTTCATTGCTGAATTTTCCAAAGGAAAAAAAAATAGTTAGCTGACCGACGGGCGCGGGGCCCTTCGCCAATTTGCGGATTGCTCCACCCGGACAGAAAAATTCCTGTGTTACAAAACTAACCTCTCCTCGTGGAGTTTTCAAAAGGAAAAAATAGCTGGCCGACGGGCGCGGGGCCCTTCGCCAATTTTGTTGTTTTTGTTTTAAATTGTTTTAAAAGAGCGCTCGTCAGTCAATGAATGCTTGGTATACTTGCTGCAAGGCGAACTCCGAAGCTCCTACCCGAACACATGCATTGCTCTCCGAATTTTGCTAACCATACCGCTCTCCGTTGCCTCCGCGGAAAGGAGCTTTTTGAAGTTGAAACTGATCAAGACATACCTCCGCTCAACGATGAAACAAGAATGTCTGTCTGGCTTGGCTGTGCTCTCCATAGAGCAGGAAATTTTGTCGACCATTGATAAAACTAGTGTTGTAAATATGTTCAGTGCAAGAAAGGTGAGAAAAGTTGCCTTTTAAGTTTGCAGGCAGGCAAAAGGTCCGCTCCCGCCTGTCTGCACATACAGCACGCGCTGAGCCAAGCACGGCGAATGATGACGAAAATATACTTTTACAAAAAGTATATTTACATTACAAGACGCGCTGCAATGTATATAAAAATTTTCAAGAAAGAGCTTTTCGATAGCGCCATCATGGACGTGGCACGTGCCGTGTTAGCTCTCCGAAGCGATGAACTTGCCCGTCCTAGACTTTGTGATATTCCCATTGGGCTGGGCACTTGCGTAGTGCATTGTTGCTTTCCTTCATATCTTCGTATAGTCTATGTTTTGTAATGTTATTTTCTCGTTTTCCTTGTTGTGACTTTATGGCTGGCGTGCGTCGATAGCACCTTTGTAATTGCTCAGTTCTCTGTTCTGTTCATTTATTGCATATATAAAAAACCAAGCCAATCTGCACATAGCACTACTGAATAAATACACACCAGAGATATCCCGCATGATAATGTACCCGTCTCGTTTTTCTTCATGTTTAGTATAAGCGAAGTTATTTTTAAATTTCAGATTTTGCTTTTTAAACTTTTGTTGACATTTTTTTTTTTACTTTCTTGCCCTGGGCCTTGCGTTATGTAGCGCCGGCCCTGGTAAAGTATATTGCGCTATCAAAGTCGCGACTTTTGACAATTGGCGATACGTCCATAGTCGCCGCCAATATACTTCCAGACCAAATGCCCAAAAGTTAAAAAAAGCCTTTTTTTAATTACTAGTTTTTTCATAATATTTATTTACTTTTGTATTTGCTCGCCGTCGTTTTGCCAATCTCAGCCTTTCCAGTTCGAAGGAACGCCTACCTGCTTGCCCGTCTGCTCACTGCAGCACGTTTCGTTGGTGTTGGAAGCCGGTGAAACAGTAGTGAGTTTTAATATTGCGCGTACGAGCGAACTCAAGCCCTGTGTGTTTGCGTTAGCTTTGTGCGTTCCACACTGCGCGTGCGCGGAGCCCGGAATTGCGGTCTTGGATGGCGCATGGCGATGAGGCGCACGCACAACGTGGGGCACGCAACTAACGCAAACGCACACCGCTTGCGTTTGCTTCTATGCGCAATACTAAAACTCTCCAGTAAGGTACAATCCCATACCGGTTGCAGCACTACGTTGGGACAGTGAAGAGTGTTGTTTGCATTCGGAAACGACATTTCGCGAGCCATGATCGCAAGCAGTTCCGCCATGCCCGCTGAGCAGGAGAATCGGGGGACCCTCACTAGAGCGCTTCCCGTTCCTGCCGCGGGAGGGCGAGCGTTGAGCTGGAGACGCGAATAGCGATTGGGAATGATATTTCGGCAAACGCCGAGGTCTGCTGCGAGCAGGACTGCGACAGATAGTTGGCAGCTCTCCCTTATTCCTTACCGAGCCTTTAGACAGGCCTTTGTGGCGCCAAAGGTTCGTCTCAACGTCGTCTGTGAAATCCTCGTAATAAACTCGCGTAGTGAGGAAAGCAAACGCGCAACAATTGACCGATATCGTCAACCGGTTTGGCTACGCCTTTGCCGTAGCGATGCGTTCGCCGCGGTGGTCCATTGAGGGAACTTTAGTCTTTCTGCACGTGCAACAACCTTGCAGATGCTGCACGAGTGCGGGGCACGAGACGGCAAAAGTTTGTGCATTGCTGCCTGCCTCGTGCAGAATAAGATGTGGTGGCATTGCGCACGGTCTGAACACCCAGTTAACCCTGTCTGTTCTCATATCTAATAATGCTCGGCGAAAGTGCTCGTCATTTCTTTTAGCTCCAGGTCAACAGCCTGGCACGATCTCGGCACGCCGAAAGTCTGACGAATTGGCCAAAGGGCAAGGAGGTTGACACTCGATATATTTTTGCCTTTCACCGACTAAAGAACAATGCTCCAGAGTGAAAAATAAATCGTAAAAAATTTACTTCTTACTGTAATTCATATTTTACAATTATTCAATCGTAATAAATTACAGCTACGAAAAACTGTCAAAAGTATCCAATTTCAGTACAAATTACTAGAGAAGTATCTAAATTACTTTATTGAATCACCACCAAAATATGGTATCTATCTGTTATACCGGGTGATTCAAGGAGACGGCAGGCTCTTTAAATCGACCGGAAAATTTGGTTTCCTAACCTATCAAGCTACGACTTTGAGCAGTGTTGCCCCCAGGTAGTGCATTTTTTTTGTAAAATTTGCAAAGAGCAAACTTACTGAGGAAAAAGTAAAGAAAGAAAAAGGCTTAGCTCCTATGGAAACGCAGCGACGCCACCGGTCTTCAAACAACACAGCGCCGTTTCGCACGGGACACAAGAGATGGCGCAACGAACGCCGCCAACGAACGAGCATACGGCGCCGAGAGCCAGCGTCTTTAGAAGACAATCTTTTCGACTCTCAAGGAGAGCGCGTTCCGCGGGCGGCGACAGTCGCAGAAGCAAAAACAAGTGCGGTAACAACAAGGAACTGCAGTTCCTTGTCTGCTAAATAGCCGGTTCTCGGCGTCGCCTGCTCGTTCGTTGGCGGCAGTTGGCGTCGTGACCGCTTGCGCCGTCTCTTGTCTCCCGTGCGAAACGGCGCCGTGTTGTTTGCAGACCGGTGGCGTCGCTGCATTTCCAAAGGAGCTAAGCCTTTTTCTTTCTTTACTCTTTCCTCAGGTAAGTTCGCTCTTTGCAAATTTTACAAAAAAATGCACTATCTGTGGGCAACGCTGCACAAAGTTTTAGCGCGATGGGTTAAAAAACCGAATTTTCCGGTCAATTTAAAGAGCCTGCCGTCTCCTTGAATCACCCGGTAGAGTAAAAAGTGTTTCTTAGGTGATCGTATTTTTAAGCGAGCACATAGGTACTCTTTCCTTATACAGTAGGCCTGTCCCGGATTAACCTAGTGTTCTATAAAGAAGTTTTCTTACTATGGTCTCCTTCAGGATACCAAAGTAAAAAAGGAGGATGTTTATTTTACGTGGAGGCTCTTCGTGTGGAGGTCGGGCTTTTAGCAACTATTTATTTTATACCGATGCCTTATATTTGCACGCTCGTCTCCATGAAGAAATTCGAAATTTTGTTTGCCATGCCTCGAAGCAGCTTCAGTCGCTTGGCCTTGTGGGCATTACGTACCTTTGTATACGGGGACCGGTTTTTGATGGGAGCCTGACACCCGTCCCACCGCACGGTCGACGGCTACCGGTGAGGGCAGTCACCGCACCGGGTTTGCCAACACCGTGCCAATGATCCCGGTGTGCAATGGCATTTATGGGGAAAGGGGGTCGCTAACGAGACACGACGGTCGGACAAGCTCGCGTGGCTACTCGACCCGTCGCCCGGAGTCGACTCCGGGACTCCCAACCAGACGGCTGTTTTTGGAGGAGGGAATGTCAACTCCGAGCGAACGATCCTTTGCGGGTCCCCCGAGACTGGAGCCGTGCAGGGGAGTGAGAAAGTAGGCCGGCGGGGGTGGCGAACTCTTGCGGGCACAATACGGAAAGAGCAAGCTAGAAGCCGGCCAGCCGTCGCATTCACGGCTTACGCCCGCTTGTGGTAGGAAGCTCCCATAGTCTCCGGCGCGAGCTTCCTACCTTCGACGACGCTTCAAAGCTTTTCGCAGCTCAAGCGCACGCGCAGCCGAAGAAGAGTAGAAGGCATGGCGCTCGGTGTAAGTGGAGTGGAAGGCATGGCATGCGTGCTGGAGGTTTGAACGTTCGAAAGACGTGCCCTGCCGTTTTTGTTCTCATTCTCTGTCTGCGACCGTGGCGGTTTTAGTTTTTTTTTTGTTTTTTTTGTTTTTTTTTTTTTTCAGAAACGTTCCGCAACTTGAACTTGCGGCATTTCAATGCGGTGTTTGGGCACCCCACTCTGTTCGGAAGTGCCCCCAGAAGCAGCGAATGTGCCATGGCCGCTCTAACGTGTTCCCTTTCCCCCACTTGTTGCAGTGGCGAGCCTGGCCACGCCCACCTGCACCACCACATCCACCAACACCACTACCACCATCCGCCCACCCCGCCACGAATACACCACTTCCCGCCGCTGGCACTGGCTCTGCCGCCCACCGTGGTGAGTGGGCAACTTTCCTGGAGGCTCCTCCGAAGTCCGGTATGGGGAGCAGGTCGACTTGTTCCCCTCTCTCTGTCGCCCCTAAACAATCCAGACAAACGTTTTCTACCATTCGAACTTTTACATCTCGAGATGCCCTTACCTGCCCTCACTGATAGCCGAGGAACCTCTCCCGATCTTGGCACTGAGGTAGTAAGGCAGTTCGTGAGCCTACGAAGCTTGCGAACAATAATGGACGTACTGGGAAGTATATTGCTTGTAGTTGTGCATTGATGGTGGCTTAAGTCTGCTGGAATAGTGCTTAGACTGGGAGAACCTTAGCCAAAAATAACCAAAAATATTTCGAATATAAAAAGGAAAATGAAATAAACGGTGTTCAGAAGCTTAGGAGGTACTCCAGGGTCTCTAGGCTTCACAGCAGGCCCAAGTGGAATGAAGAGACCGGGACAATGCCGTCTGCTGCGATTGGTCAGCGGCACGGCACTGACCAATCGCAGCAGACGGCCTTGTCCCCGTCTCTTGGTTCCGTTTGGTCCTGCCGTAGTATGGGGCCCCAGGAATCTCCTAAGAACCGAGTTTGACAACCTATGGGCTATTTTTAGTATAATGTACCGTCCTTCCTGGCTCTTGCTTGTTTGATACTCACTTATCTGCACACCATTCTTAAACACTATGTATAAATGCTGTTTCTAAGTCTGTGAATAAACTTGGGCTCCAAGTAATGCTTAAGACTGACTGGCCGTTCACGACGCTCGCTCTAGTTCCGTGGCGTTATTTGTAGCATCGGGTAAGGCACGTTGTTTTTTCTGGCGGGTGTATCAAGTTGAATGCATGCACACGTGTAAGTTTTTTGTTTTTTTTCCTGGGCTTGACATTTTTTATTTTGTGGAAGTTTTGGGTTTCTGCGTGGAGGTGGTCGAACTGTGAAACAATTTGACCCGTCGGGTTGAGAGGCCAATGTTGTTGACGAACGAGAAAGGAAAATCAAGCATGGTTGCTGGCATTAAGCGGCCGCGGCGTTTAGTCGGGGACAGAAACTTTGGGTGGCATATTTTCTTTAGGGTCTCCATGGTGGTTTATCGAAGGCCTGCACATGCTTTCAGACCATGTCGCAGCGGTTCCCGGACATGTATGCCATCTCGGCCCTGTCCGACATTCCTCACTACGTCTCTCTGCCCCACTACATGCCCCTGCTCTCCAGGCACGTCCAGGTGAGTCGAAAGGGGAACCTTGTTACAGTGGAACCTTGTTACAGTGGAACCTTGTTGATTTGTCCTCAAATCATGGGCCGTTTCGGCCGTTACGTTTGCAAGTGCCATTCTTCTTGGATACCCTTACGAGTGTGCGTATTAATTTCGCGTTAGCTGCCTTTGCATCCCTGGTCATTACGTCTCGAAATTGCCGTAGGATGCGACCGACACGACATGTTGGGCCGCCCAGCCATAGCCTCCCTTTTTAGTTTCGCTTTGCTCCCCTTTGCTTGGAAGTTAACAAATATGACAGAGAAGGCAGAAAAGTTTCTAAAACTGATTGCAACAGAAAGCATTCCCAAAGTAACGAAAAGCGTAAGAGAAAGATATAGAAGGGCGTTGCTCGTGGGAGCTCAATAGAGAATGCAGTTCTCCACCTTCCCCATGGTGGCTCCACTCAAGAGACGCTACCCCCTGAAAAGAAAGAATTTTTTTTTAACTGTCTGGTTGGGACACTCATGTCGAAAAATTAATTTTACGCAAAAAAAAGTAATAATTTTTTAGAGCAATATTGACGGCACGAGATTTATTTTAAATTCTGCCCGCAAAGTTTATGACGTCACGGAATGGTCATCCACTTTCTCCACGTCAACGTGATGGCCAAACCGATCCGCCTCTCCTCCACGTGCTCGAAATGCCGATAGAAAAAACGAGTGGAAAGGAGGTGAGAAACGCCTAAATCACGTCTCACGCTGTCAATATTTTTCTAAAAAATATTTTTTCGCATAAAATTAATTTTTTGACTCGTGTGTCCCAAGATGACTGTTTAAAAAATAAACATTTTCTTTTCAGGGACTTTTTAAGGGAGGATACTACCCAAAAGGGTGAACTTTTGAACCTTTGGCCTAATATGAATGAAATTTACAGTATATACTGGCAGTTGCAAGGCAGAATGCAGTGCAAAATTTAATCTGTACATCGATTGTGAGTGAAATTATAGTTGTTTTTATCAGGAACACACTCACATTGGTTAGAAAAACTGTCGTTAGGAAACTAACGTATTGCCCAACATTTTTCTTCATTAGATGCGCAGCAGAGTGCCTGTAGAGTGCAAGTGTAAAAACTATTTTCAAAAAGTAATTTATCTTTTCGCTATCATCGCTCTAAAAAATCAAATGTATTTTTTGTCTTATGTCGTAAACAAAATCTTATCGCCTTTAATAAAAGACATTCACAAAGTAAAAAAAGCAATGCCACAATTGCATTGAATTCTGGTTAGGAAAAACAATGAGTGAGCTGTTCCTCTTGTCCCGTTACCAAACGATAGTTTTCCTAAAGTGAAGTTTATGCCAAAAAGTGGAATGGAGAAAAATTCATTCAATATGCTCCAACCTCTACCTTTTCTTTAGCATTGGTACACCGAAAATAATTTATAAAAAATTAACTATGCAGTGTAAACAAATGAAACTTTCTGGAAATACACTCTAGATGTTTTTGGATATAAATACAGCATTTTTCAAAATGTCTGTTTTTGCTTCTGGGTAGTGTCCCCCCTTAAAGGGAAGCTGAAGCAGTTTTGTATTTGACCTTCAGGATTAAAAATATCAAAATTATTTTTTAATTTGATGCACAGAGGCTGCAGAAAATTATTTTCAAAGTACCGCTGAAGGCCCTCCTTTCCAGAGCGCGACACACAGAAGGAGCTTTCGTAATCTGCTCTGTCGCACATCTTCAGTGCCTATCAAAGCTGTGCATGTACACACTCGCTATTTTTAGAAAGGGCCGAAAAAGACATCACGACTGATACCAGTGCTGGGGAATATACCTGGCAAGCTTGCAATTGCACGCGCGGCCCTCGAGCAACACGCACGTGCTTGGCGGCCGAAAGATCCTTCTGTGAAGTCACGACTGGTTGGAGGTTTTTCGTGTTTTCTCACGTCGAGTTACATCTTCGGGGAAAATGAGCGCGATATTCAGATTCATGGGATAAAACGACGCTAAAATCAACCTCTATCTCATTTTTTGAAACAAGTGCTTCCCTTGAATATCCCGAGAGAAAACCCACCTAAATATGAGAACAAATCGGGGGAAAGTTAGGAGTGTGTTCAAGAGCAATTGTAAAAATGCCATTTTTGTATTTTGTGACCTGCCAAACTTGTTTTCTCGTTGAGAAGCAATGGAGCATAGACAACTGTCCTTCTCGGTCAACAGTGTTCGCTCATCTCCCACATAAGCTATCTAATCCCATTTTGGCCAAGGTCACATTTGGCCAGGGCACTGTAATTACTAAAAGTGGGCTATCTATGTTTTTGAAAAAATGGCAAATAGTGTCAAGAATAGGGATGAGTTATCTTTTGGGTGGTGGGGCATCTTTCGGGATATTAGGGTAGGCTGTCTCGCAGCACTTTTTCTACAGCCAATGGGAAGTCTGAAAATTCTCATTCTAGACCAGTGGGTCAACTGGAGACAGCATAGATAGGATGGAATTATTTTCAAAACTTTGCATCATGTTTGTTTTTATGGACATTCAGTTAGCCAATAAGAAATTTAACTCTTGTCGGACAGGAAGACGTCCGAGACGTTTTCCAAGTTCCAGAAGTGTACCTGAAAATGCTTAAACAAAACCCTATCTTTGAGTTTGTTTTCGAAGGCATCAGAATGATGCCACGTTGGAGGGAAGCTCGTGCTGCTTTTGCTGCAATACGACTGGAATGCAGCGATATCCACACAATCACCAGAAAGTTCCACTCTCCCCACCTGTGCAGGAGTCGATGAGGCTGTTTGAGCACCGACGCATGGTGGTGAACCGGGGCGCCTCCCAAGGGACCATTGAGAGGAACACATTCCCCCACAAGTACAAGAAGGTGGGTGCAGGCACTGCAGCTCTCGACCTGTTCTTTGACCCCGCTGGTACCTCTTCCCTACGCTTCAAACTTTTCGGAGCAGCAAGTCGATGCACGAAACAGTATGCAAGGAACTTTGGGGACTAGCATGTAGCGGGGCGCATCTGTTCTTACACTCGAATCGGAGTACATGGAGCTTTAGTATGTGCGATCCTGCTTTCTCAAACCTGCCCGGATACGGAACCGCATTACTCATTTTCTGCTGGAAATGCAGCAGCTGGAGGGAGCTTTGTTAAATTGCACACAATTTTCGGGCTGCAACCGACATTGGAGTTTTGATGCCGTAAAGATACAAGGGAAGGGAAAGCAACCTTTTGAGAAGGCCGTTTGTCGTAACAGTTGATGAAGCGGGTGGTACATTAAAGACGGGGAAACGCTACATTTTCGTTAGCTTTTGATATTCGGATGGTGCCATCAGTTCTGACAGACCTGCAACACGGCTAGACCTCTTTTGCTTGTCGTGCATCTCGCGCTTCTCGCTTCTTTTTTCAGATCCCGCGCAGCGGTGGAGACAGCGAAGACAACGTCGAAAAGTGCACCATCTGTCTAAGCGAGTTTGAAGACAACGAAGATGTCCGGTGAGCGCGAGAGCCGGGCATTTGTGATTGAAAAAGTGTGGTAGTGGAAATCACACTTCACTGCCAAATGTAGCCTGCAGCGGATCACGTCGAGGCAGCAAGCTAATGCCACCACCAGATGCGTTTGTGCTGTAATGGGGCTAGGGTCTAGGGAAAAATGTGTCCTCGCATGTCAACAGAAAACTCCCCATTGGTCGTGGCAAGTATGAATAAATAAATATAAAGAGGGGGCAATCAGCGCGAGTCAGCTTTCCTTGGCATTATTAGATAAGGTCCTGGTCCCTTGTCATCATCTCTAGGCATTTTCCTCGAGGTCGTCCTAGAAGTCGTCCTTGAGGTTATCTGAGAGGTTGTCCTAGGTGTCGTCCCAGAAGTCGTCCTTGAGGTCGTCCTAGACGTCATCCTCTAGGCGTCGTCTTTGAGGTCGTCTTAGAAGTCCGTCCTTGAGGTCGTCCTCTAGACATCATCCTCGAGGTCATCCTAGACGTCATCCCCTAGGAATCGTACTCGAGGTTCACGTGAAGTGGATGGGCTTTACAATTTCTTTTATTTTACTACCCAATGTGCAAAGCTCGGATGTCATGCTTGGCGTAAATGGTTACATGCATATTCCTAAAATATGGACATTGAGGATGTAGTTGCTGTTGGTGCTCAATCAGCAAAAGAAAGAAACATGTTGCCATTTTGTTCCCAATTACTGTTGCGCTTGGTGTACTCCATCTTTCATAGACTTTGGTTACAGAGTGCAACACAACACAGTAGTTAGGTAGTCGTAACACAATGCATGCATCTCTTCTTCACAGGCGTCTACCCTGCATGCACTTGTTCCACATTGTGTGTGTGGACCAGTGGCTCACGACCAACAAGCGCTGCCCAATCTGCAGAGTGGACATCGAGGAGCACCTCAAGGACTTTGGCATTTCCTCGTGATGTGCGTGCGTTTTTGTATGTGTGCCTGTCTACCTGGTGTGTTTTGCACAGTTGTAGCTGCTGTATTTTTCTCCCCTATTCCAAGTTTGTTTTTGTTACCAATGCTAGTCTTACCACGGACGGTATAACTTTGAAAGCACGGTCGTGGGCTTGTCTTTTGTCAGTGTGGGTTCAACGTACAGAGGAGAATAAATTTGATCAGCTGATTGGCAGACTGAGGTTGGTTCGAGCTTGCTGGCATTAATGCGGACTAAACCACTGCCGCAGGTGAAGCCTAAAACATGTGCAATTTAGTTTTGGAAAGTGGAGAGTGGTGCATTTTCCCAGCAATGTGTGGGTTTACCTGTAGGGATGTTCCAGGCCTTGTTCCATCCTTTTTGAATCTGGTTGTGATGACTGGAAGTGTGAGCAAATAACTTTTTCTGAGCTTCAGTTTTTGCTTGAGTAGCACCAAGGGCATTCTTTCAATTCCTACTGTATTTTAGACAGTGTTATGGTGTGCCACCCAAGCATCGGGAATGCTGGCAGCCGTACCTTGCGGGAAGGTTGTTTTTGTTCACCTTACGCGCTTTCCGGGGTGTCAGTTGTGATGGACAAGTGTGCATTTGCACGGAGCTGCTCAAAGAAAGTGCATCACAGTTGTTGGTTTTGCCGTTATGTACACTTCTTTTATTTTATGTCGCTATGGGTCTTGTATAGCTTTTAGTTGTTGGTCAAGCTTTTGCCAGCAAGGCTCTTGGCCAAGACAGAGGATACCATTTGGAACTTAGTTGTGGAAACAAGTGTGCCCAGAGTGAGTGGTAGCAGTCATTCGTTTTAATAGCAAATACTTCAGCAACACCGTGTGAATTTATTTTTTCTTTTCTTTTTACGTGTGCGGTGTTCATGTTCTGTTATGGCCTACCTGTATACATGCAATGGATTACAATCACTTCTCTGCTACAGAAAGCCCAGGACATATCACAGTCATCGAACCCAGACATAATTATGCCAAAACGGGTTTGTGTTCATTCCTCATGTGAATTGTATAACCTCCAATCTGCTTGTACATGACATTAGTATACCTAGGAAACCACGCTTGACCAGATTTTTGTGGTTTTGCATCCAAAGTATGTTTGCGTTGCTATGCATCTGCCTATCCATCCATTGCACCAGACAAGTTTTCTGAAGAGGCAAATTAGTGTCAGCTCAGTGTCATTATTGGATCTGTAAAGCACCAGGCAAATGGATAGAATCGAAGTCAGTCTGCTGCAAAACTGCCCAGCTGTAATTGCAGCAGGTGAAATGGTGACGTGCAAGAACTCGGGTTAGATTTTCCTCGTGCTCATTAACAGGATTGAAAAATGGAGGTGCGTTAGCATTCAAATTGTTATCTAGGTCTCCTTAAACAAGCTGTCCATGCCATTGGTGTTCTGGCAAAGCTTCCTGTAACTCAAAATTTGTCTCGTAACACCACCAAAAGGTCCCGTAGCTCGGCATTTTCCTGCCAAGTTTCCCATCGATTCTTTTTGTTTTGGCATGCGCAGGCTTGCTTAGTCATGTTCCGGGGTACTAGTTTGAGGATGCTGTGCTGGTGTGAGAATGTTGTCGCGCTAAGTGTGAAATTCTCTTCTTCCTACAACCCCGCCTGCACCTGTGCCGTCGTCATCGAGACTGCACCTAGCCAAAAGGCGGGTCACAAACGTCAAATCACGCAAGTTTCTGGATGTCCTCTTGAATCGTGAGAGAGATCTGGTTCTACTTTTCTATCTTTCCTCAGACATTTTCTATTTCAGCTGTCTTCATTCCCACCTGTGGCTTTGCCCATATGTCAGCCTAGAATGGTTTCCGGTTTTATTGCATTAGCTCTGAAGCAAAGAAAGTTTCAAATGTGGCTTAGGAGATGAGGATATGGTGTGACGTTCAGCCAAACTCAGACGGACTTTGTTTCTCCCAGTTAGGCGACTTTGATCCTTGCGCTAAGGTCGCTGAAGCAGCGTTTCCTCAAGTCTGTTCAAAACTTCCACAGCCTTTTTTGCGTTTGGACTGAGTGACATGTCTGTACATAACTGCCTGTTTAACACAGTTTTGAAAGCCTTTTTGCTCCAAAATGTGTGCAAGTTTCCAGATGCAAGTTTAGACTATCCAAATGGATGAGTTTAGGTAGCCCTTTAGTTCTGTCATACTAGTTCTAATCTACTAAAGTTTAGAAAGCAGCGTCCAAATATTTGTTCCGATCTTAGGCCGTTTGTGTTTTACAGTGCTGTGTGTCCAGCCAATTGTGTGATGCAGTGCAAGTTTCTTTTTCTCAGCATTTAAAGACTACATTAATTATGGACTCTTTCACTTGCAGTTTTAAATTGTAAGTTATGTGGAAACAATTGCTAGTTTTAAAAATAAAAATTGTATCTCATCCAGATCTTGGCATTTTCATTCGGTTGAGTGGCCGACGTATGGAGGGCACTTAAGACTCGACATACGGTGAAGAAATTATGAAACCATTGTTGTCTTATAATTGTTTATCTAATATTAAATTGCTGCAACTGCTTTCATTCATACTTAACATGGATTGTGTACAGTTGACTGCAAATATGATTGCCGCATTTTCAGGTGTGCAAGTCTTTCTGTTTGCAAAACTTTTTTCGGTGTGTCTTGTACAGCAAGACTTGTATGCATTTTTTTTTTTTCTGCAGGTGTGGATTTTAATTGCGGAAATTCGCCACAGGAGTTGGGCTTCTCGTTCGAATTATCGAGAATATTGAAACTTGCTCTCGCTTGCACGTATATTGCGATCGTAACACGCAATACAATGCAGTTTCACCGCACCGACCGTACAGATATATAGCTGCGGTTTATACATCAATGTTGTTTCTGATAACTGCCGTTAATACAGTCGCGGACAGATTTTTCAGACTCCGAGGGGACCTCGAAATTGTCCAAATAATCAAGCGGTACGAAAAATCGATTTCAGCCAAGATATCAAGTTTGCGCGCATATTCCGCTGTGTAGTGGCCACTTTCCACTTGCTTGATGTCAACCTTAAGTTTGCATGTAACTTCCGCTTTATATTGTTCACTTTTTACTTGTTTGTTGATCTGTTTGATCACGGTGCTGTACTTTGTCGGTGCCGCCTTTGGCACAAATGGCAAAGTTGAAGGTCTGCCATTTGGCACTATTTGGAGACAATGTTTAGTTCACCAAGCTCGCTTCAATACTAAACCTATTGGCAAGAAACCTTTGTGTTTAAAGACCACAAGAATGGCAGTTAGCCGCTCTTCTCGCGGTCGCACTCGAAAAACACGAACCACGAGAACTGGAAAAACCATAAGAATGGGCAGACGGCGGCCATGTTGGCTATGGGTCCAAATCACATGAGCGAATGACATTTTAGCGAACAGCGACATTTGAGCGAATCAACGTTTTAGCGAATAACGGGGGCGCGCGTTAACCCATCCGCCGCTCTGCTCTTTCGCCGTTTCGCGGCGACAGTCTGCGGCGGCTCATTACAAAAATGTGAACCCATTTAGCCCACCCGAAAACGCCGCTTCGCAGCGTCTGACTATTCGCTAAAGTGTCATCAGGTGAAACGTGGGCATTCGCGAAAACGTCATTCGATCAAGTGAGTGCCTCTCGTTAGCTATAGGGGCACCGGAAAACCAGACTATAGCCTCAACCCAGCTTGTTTATTGCGTGGGACGTGGTATCGAGGCTACAGGGCAAAATCAAAACCAAAATGGCAATGACTAAGCTCGCGGCACTATCGTGGCGGCTGTTTTGTGGCTGTAAACTGTGGAAATCATGCAAATTATGTTCGAAATATCTAGCAGTACGCTGTATGGTGTCCGAAATTTTGGTCAATATTATACAGTGCAAGCTCATTACAACAGACCTGGTTACAGCAGACATTTGGATATAACATACCCATGTGTGAAGTTCGGTTGGTTTTTCTCTGCACACCAGCGACTCAACTTCATGGCTGTGTTCTAAATCTGACCCAAAAGGATCGGAGTTACTCCAGCAGGCCGTGTCACGTGACACACAGATTGAAAAATGCTGGAGTAAGATCGAGTAAATTTTGGAACACGGCCCATATCTGCATACAACATACTCTTTTTACAAGAGACCGAAATCTTGGTCAAAATCAAGGTCTGTTATAACGAGCTTAGACTGTACATTAACTCTATGGGGTGAGTGACGGTTCGGCAAAACATCTGAATAATCGGAAAAGTCTGAATTATCGGCGTCCGAAAAATATGTCGGCGACTGTACTTGCCAAAAAATACTAGTGGTACTAGAGCGAATCTGCCGAACTTTAGATGTGGCAGAGTTTGGCACATGCCGAACTTTTAAAGGAACGTTCAGCAAAGATTCAGCATGTCTGTGCACGGCCGAGAACGCGATGGGGCCATGGATTGCAAATGGACGCCGTGCAGTTACCATTGTACAGTGTAGTACAAACAGCAGTTAGTGAGATGTGGAGTAGGCAACACGCTAACTTTGCTTTTTTAAACCCTTGCGAGTGTGGTTCTCTTCAATATTTTCCGCCTCAAGAACAGAAGATCTACCAGGAATTTACACAGTTCGCTGCGCAAGTGACAAGTGATGATGTACATTCTGGATAACGTGATTTTCATTTGACTATTCGAGTGATGCAGCGAGATAGTTGAAACATCGACTAAAGCACACCTCGCAAACAATCCTGTTTTCGGCTTGCAAGTAGTTTGTGCCAAAACGAAATAATATTGCTTTTTACTTGACGTTATTTCGCGGTTTTCATGCATCTGCATAAAACTAAACACACCTATTATGCTCGACGTAGCACATCCGACATCCCTAACTCTGCCCATCCTCCTAAACTTCCGTGTGTGTCCCAACATCAGAAACCGGCGTTTTCAAGGTTAGAAATGAGACGTTGCGAATATGGGACGCACACTTTCATGCAAAGCAGACGTTGAGTAGCTCAAATCGAAACTCGTACATGTTTACAATAATATTGTTATCTCTTCTGGTGGAGGCTCAGCAACCACTGTATTTTTTTTTTTTTTTTTTTTTTTTTTTTTTTTTTTTTTGCACACAAAACGGTGACTTTCAGAGAAAGTAAGAACACAGTGTTATTTCCTTTATTCTAACGATGTACACTCTTGCAGGCTTGCGCTGAGGCATCAAGACCAAAACTCTTGTATCGTGGTTCGTGACTGTGTCCACTACTAGCCAGCCTCGTTGTCATGCCACCTCTGCAAGAAGTCACTGTAAAATTGCCAGTAAACAGACAAAAATGACACTGATACACTTATCATGTAGAATATCACCTTATTCAGTAATAACTTTGTCAATATGCATTACATGTTGCATTTAAGTTTAAAACAAAGCACAAAACACAATCACGACGAAACCGTCCGATCCGACGTCCAATCGGGCAATACGGCGGTCAGAGGTGAGGCAGGTGAGGGTTCTCAACGCTCTCCGGTGCTACGAAAACCCTCGCCCTCGAAGGTCATTCTGGCAGTTCGCACGTCAGATCGGACGGTTTTGTCGTACATGTGTTTCGCGCTTAAAACCTTTTTTTGCCAAAAAAAAAAAAAAATTAAATATCAGTGATAAGTCTGGTAACAATGTATTTTTTTCCAAATTGCTGCTGAATCTTTAGAAAAGTTTGGCTTTGCCGAATCCCAAGATGCGGCGCCGCAATTTTCGATTCGGCAGAAGTTCAGCCCATCACTAGAAAATATGTTAATATTTGCAGACGGCTTTTTATTACGAGGGGTGGTGTTAAGCTGGAGGTGGGAAGTTTATTAATCGAGGCTAATTTCAAATTTATTCAAGGGCCTCTGGCTGTGCAAAATGGAGACTAGAAGACTTGGAAGTTAGGCCTTCGTGCCAGGTCAGAGACCCTGTTACAGTCTGGAATGTGGCTTGTAGGGGAGGCACTCGATGGAATGACGTTTAAGAGTCGGACGCCGCGAAGCGGCGTTTTCGGGTGGGCCAAATGAATCCTGGAGAAAAGCTCACCGCAAAACCAGCAGATGCGGAGAAAAGCTCACCGATTTATTTTTCTTTTCATATGGAGGCTGTTGGATCATGCGTACCATATATCAATTTATTATCATTAAAGTTTGTCAGCTTTGTCAAAAAGAAAATGTCCTTTTTTGTATTATTTGCCAAGCTTATTAAGTATATTGCTCCCAAATTAATAACGGCGGGCCAGTGTTTTCTGCGGCTTACTCTCTAGGGAACTAAAGCCTAACTGAAAATTTTATGAACTTGAATAACATGAAAAAGTTCGAAAACTTATGTCTCCCTAAAACCTAAAAATCAAAACTTTAAACACCGAAAGTGCATGCGCAACAACGCGGTGCCTGAAATTCTCTTTGAAGCTTTTATTAACCTATGAAAACAGGATAAAACAGTCAGTAGGATATCAGGCTTCTTTCTTCCGCGGACATGCGAGTTTCCTAGCCGTTCGTGCTGGTGTTTCCGCACGTTGCCTTTGTGTGATAGTGCCCTTCTAAGGTGAGCCACCCATGACTTTCGGAGCTGCACACTGGCACCGTTGTTACTCGTGACAACAAACACGACAGGACGAAGCTGTTCTCGCAACTAAAGTTTTCTTAGTGAAATTAACAGAAAGAAAACAGCGTAGCCGACACTGATTGCATCAACAAATACCTACTTAACTATTAGGCTCTACAGAATATTTAGAGCTGAAACGGTTCACACACCGCTATTCATATTAGCTCACAAAGAACCTCTTTATTTGAAGAGCTACCGACGGCGCACCCTCAGTTGTCAATAAATTGTCTTTTTTACCGGTGTACGATGTTCCGATATCATTTTTGCGGCTTTATTAATATACAGAATGGGGGATTACTAATTTCTCAGGAATTAGTAAATATGCCCAATGACCTTCAAAAATATTACAAAAAAGAGAACATTTTTTTTTTTTTTTAAATGAAGTGGCGAATGCGAATTGTGTTAAATTGCCACGCTTCACGCAAAATCCGTCAGTCAAAAAAAAAAAAAAAAAAAAAGAAAATGGAAAAATCGGTGAGCTTTTTTCCGCATCTGCCGGTTTTGTGGTGAGCTTTTCTCCAGTGAGCTTTTCTCCAGTGAGCTTATCTCCGGCGAGCTTATCTCCGGTGAGCTTTTCTCCGGTGATCTTTTCTCCGCTGCCCGGGCCAAATGGGTTCACATTTTTGTAATGAGCCGTCGCAGACTGTCGCCGCGAAGCGGCATAAAGCGCAGCGCGGCGGATGGGTTAACGCGCGCACCCGTTATTCGCTAAAACGTTGATTCGCTCAAATGTCGCTGTTCGCTAAATTGTCATTAGCTCATATGATATGGACCCGGCTTGTAGAGGACAGAAGACTGGCGGGGGCGAAGCCTGGGTGGGATCGGCAGGACATACCAGGAAACAACACTTTGTGGTAAAGTAGCTTTCAGCCACATGTTATTGCTGACCCTTGCTGTGAAGCCACTATACGGAGTTGGGAGAGTCAAAGAAAAAAAAAAAGATGAAAGCCCCACTAACAAAAGGGCGAACAGAGGCTATTTATGTTCAGTTTATTCGTAACCATAAATAAGAAAAACATATTTTAAAAGCTTACTTTTCAAGAACATTTAAAAATACTTTAATTTTAGCTTTCCTCCATATTTGGCGACATAAAAATTTTCGTTAATATCACCAAACAGCCTATGTCTAATACTGATGCTTTGTGTCAGTCTGTTTGCCCTAAACTTGGATTGCTATAGCAACCAAACATCCAAAGTTTGTACAAAAAAAGATTAGTTTCAAATAAATTTTTAAGAACAATGGAGCTTTAGGAAAAAAAAAATTAAGATGATGCAATTCGCTGTGATCATTTTTTTATGCTGCTTTTATAGATTTTTGATCTTTTTTTTTTTTTTTTCAACCAAACTTATTTTACCTAATATCAAATGAAACCATTCATACTTGACTTGTTCATGTGACTTTGCCAAGCTTTTGAACCTCTATATCGCAATTTTCTCCTGAGCTCACCAGCATTGCTCTATGCCTTATGGCTAGGGCTCAGTGTTTTCGGATAAATCCGAAAGAGACCCGCCGTTAAAATTTTTGTCAATTCGGATTTATCCGATAAACGCTGAAATGCTATGTGCCCATGCCACCCCCACCCACCCCACACACACAGCAAAAAAAGAAAAAGTAATTTTTTGTTTCTTCTAATTTGAGCAGCGCAGGATCAATGGTCCTGGGAAACAGGTCATCGTACCATTCGTGTCACGACGAAAGCCACTCTTTTGGTTTCCAATTTGGGCCATGGGATTTGGGATTTAGAGAAAGGAGAGGGTATGTTTCTGGGGGTAACAGTGAAAGCTATGGACCATAGATTGTATAAAATAGGGAAGAGGGGAAGTTGAAACTTCTCTATTACATAACTAACCACTCCACCTCGCGCGGCCGCAGGATAGATTGATAGGATGACTACAAGCTTCCTTGCAGCTGCCTCCGGCAGTTTATTGATTTTAAGGTATCGACGTTTATCGAAGCCACACTTGTGTGCGACTTTTGTCGTGGTACAAATTAGTGTTGCCAATGACACCAACACCAAATTCAACTGAAGAAATCTTAATTGATACAAGCGTGTTTTATTTTTTGTCTGGCATACGTTTGCATCTGGTTATTGTTTATTATTTTTTAATAGGAAACACTGCGAAATTAAACTCCGAATGTCGGAAAATTGGTGATTTACGAAAAATAAACTCTGATAAACACCGAATTTTTGCTAACAAATAAACTCCGAAAAACACCGTCCGAATTTCACGAGAAATAAACTCCAAAAACAAGGAGCCCTACTTATGACCCATCTGCATGTAAAAGATGCAGTCGGAACCATTCATTGAGACTGGGCTTCATCTCCCTCAAGATTAGATTTTATTCTCAATTCACCCGAGCTCTATGCAAATACTGAACATATTGAAGCCTCCTGTGCAATTTGATAATTGCAAAATGCAGACAGTGAAAGTTCATTTGTATGGCTTCGTGTGCAGAATACCGTGTCAAGGCTTACAATTTGGAAAGTCACTAGCAGAGTAGCATTGTTTTGTTTCAATGCTATAATTTATATTTTAATTTCGTCTATCCTGGAAAAAACAGTGGCTAAAACTAAAACCAGCAATGGTGGATAACCCTGCATGACTTTGTAAAAGAATAAAGCAAAACTTTGGCTGTGCCAAATCATTCAGGTTCACCGCCGAATTTAGTTCTGCAATAAGGTGGTTGGTAATGATTATACATGGTTAAAATTACGCACAAAGGGAAAGGAACAGTGGCGAGAGGTTAGTTCTGCATCGTGAACCAAGTAAATTCAGCATATTAAATTCCCAAATTTTGTATCATGTTAAATCACTAATTTACCCACAAGGTGCTGCCAGATGATGCATTTGTTTTATGAAAATATAGTAGAAGCACCTTGCCTTAATCGAGTTAGAAATATAAAATCTACAGCCGTACTTCGGTCGTACCAACAAAAGATTGCTCTTTCAGTCGGTAAATTTCGGTGTAATAATTTATGTACCGAGACTTCCGATTAGCATGCCACTGGATGTTTCTATGGTCATGATCCCTTATGCCAGACATGAGGTTTGAGGTTCCATCCACGAGGAATCCCAGCTACAGTGGTGACGCTATAGCTTTTTTATCTGGTTACACTTTTGCATTACATGTTTCCACTAAGTATCCCTCGCAAGAAACATCAAACATTACAACTAGAATTTTTTATTAATGAATATTAGAGATAAGCATTCTCCATATCAAATTAGAATAGGGAAAGAAGGAAAGAACATCACTTTAAATTGGCTCCTCCCATTGTCAGTTTTGTTGGATAAGGTGTCCCACAAGACTGCATGGATGGTAGGTGTGTAGTATCTACAATTTATTATAATAAATTTACAAATGAACACCAACGTCTTGTCAGTTTCAGGCACGTCTTGTCTGAAGAACGTGCAGGATTGACATAACAGAGTGAGACATGAACAAGCTTGTGAACGTTTTTAGGCCTTGCAGAACTCGGGCAGCGGCATGGACCCTCTCTTGATGATATTACTCAGAATGCAATAGGCCTCGTCCACTGTGAAGATCTTCCAGGTTGCTGGACCCTCAACGAATTCTGTAGGAGTCAAGCTCAGGAGCTTTATCTCTGACAAAAAACGTTTCATCGAGCTTTCCAGGAGTTTGTCAGACGACAAGCTCGCTACCGCTGAGCACTTGCCAAATGCCCATGCATGAATGCTCCAAAGGATCTCATATTCGGAGATCACTTTCTCTCTCTTCAAGACCTCTAAGATGGTGCTCTCCGAGGCCGCGAGGAAAGACTTTGAGTCCAGAACCTCACCAGCCTTCATTTTCAAGGTTATATTGATGATGTCATCATACTCATTTGTGGATTCATGGCTAGCCGTAAAGAGGTCCAGAATGAAGCAGAGGTTCTGAGGTTTGATGCTCTTCCTGACGAACTCTGTGCACAGGCCGACAAGGTCAAGCTCCAGGTACTTCTGCGCTGCCCTTTTGGTGAGGAGCGCCGTCTCAACGTTGGCGAATTTGGCCTCGTGGCTGTACAGATAGCTGCAATAGCAGAATGGTAGAATTAGTCGCTGCCCAAGTGATGCTGGCTCTCGCTTATTTTACCTCAAGAGAAAGCTTGCCGCAACAAAATCGAAGTCGTCTGCAGTAGTAGCATCAGTAACATAGAAAAGTTCCTGTCTTTTACAGCGTGGAAACTAACACTTTGAAGTAGTGGTGCAAGCCAAGTCTAACTATCGATAATAAAGAAACTATCGTAAGGTTATCGACAGTATTTTATTAGGAGACTAAGAACCTCAAGAGTTCATCTAGAAAATGTGAAGCTCGGAGAAAAACAATACCACAATTGGAAACTTTCCAAATAGGGGGCCCTTATTCGCAAATATTGAGTAAGGTAAAAGCAAATTTACCCGTTTTTCTTTTACAAATCCTTAATGTTTGGATGTTTGAAGTCAAGACCACATCAATACAATTCAAACGTGTGCGCTTTCATAGTTCCACTTTTCACAAAAACCATTTTTGCCTTTCCTTGTTTCGCTTTTTGAAATTTAGTTCAACTTTGCACTAATTAAGGTGTCTCCAATGCACAGAAAGATGACCCTCCACTGTCTTGTAAAGAGTGGTGATGGTCTCGAAGGTGGTCACTAACACACTGTCCAGCCTAACATAGTTTCCACCATGTGACTAGGATCCAGTACATCACACCCGCTGTAGAAGCACGAAGAACTGTCATGTGCGCTGTTTTGGGACACGTGGCTAGAATACATCATGGGCTAAATAAAGTCTAGTTTTCAGAGCGCAGCTCTTAGGCGCCAGTTTCTGGCTTGAGCAGTGTCGGCGTAACCACGCATTGCATTATGGGATGTTTCCCATAATGACGTCACTAAGGTCACGACCTTTACAAGCAACGTCACGAGGAGAGGGAGGGAAAGGAGAGGAGGAGGAGGGGCATATGCTCCTCTCCATACCCTCTGCCCCTCCTCCTGAAGAGCTGCACTCTAATTCGGCTTTACAGGAAGTTATAGACATGTTTCTTTTTTGCTTTTGAGCTTTCGAGCCGGTTGCGAATTGGTGCTTATGTGTGCCCCATGTGTTTCTTTCCTACTCTTCGTTCTTGTGCGAGATCGAGGCAAGACAAGCCACTAAGATTCGCGTGGCGCTGTCATGTCAACTGCCGCATTCATTCAGGCTAAAGACTGGCCTGAATCGGAAGACTATCTAGAACACCCTGCAAGATCATCCCTCATGTACTCATACTTTGCGATTTAAACGAGGTAAGGAAAAGCAAAAGCCTTCTGCACCATTCATTGACGATCAACATGCCTAATAGTGCAGTGGCCCTTATGGTTTTGTTCTGAAACAAAACAATGGAGGGCGCCACCACTTTTGTTTGTTTAGGGACCTCTCAAGTTCAGTCCTGGGTCTGCTTCAGACAGGGTAATTTCTTTACGCAACTTGACAACGCAACCCCTACTTTTCTTAATTTACATGAATGACCTACCTGCTAATATCTCATCTAACATACGCTTATTCGCAGATGACTGCGTTGTTTATCGTCCTATAAATAACACCACTGACGTTCACGCTCTGCAGTCTGATCTTCACCATATCGAGGCTTGGTGTGCTAGATGGCTTATGTCTTTGAATGCAAACAAAACATTTCTCGTTTCGTTTCATCGTAGTCAATTTTACCCGTCTCCTAACTATGTCCATTTGTGGTTCACTCATATCTCCTGTACCTTCATATAAATACCTAGGCATTACCTTTTCAAACGATTTAACTTGGTCATCTCACATAACGAACATAGCTAATGACGCGAATCGCGTCCTTGGCTTTCTACATCGCAACCTATGCTTAGCCCCTTCATCGGTAAAGCTACTTTCCTCTCGCTAGGCCGACCAAAAATGTTTCTACTCGTGCAACGGGCAGTCCAAAAAGGCGGATGAAAAGACTGTCGAACAGAATTTCTGACCGCCAGCGTTGCACCTGTTGCGTGAGTAGAAACTTTAGTGCAGCGCAACGCTTTCGTGTTTCAAATCCTAAAGTTTTGGTGGTTTAGGTGACGTTCATCAAGTTTCAAATTGAAACCATGTGTTTTTTTGTTTTTTTTCACCAATTAAAAAGATAAATAACAAGTATTAGTTAATTATTCATCTTATTGTGACGATTAACCCCCTGAATTATGTCCCCCTTGGCCGTATAACTTGCCTGCACGAACTGCATTACTACCATTATGTTTTTTTAATAAAGCTTTAAATTAAAATTTAACACCATGTATTCGCGACTTCAGCGACCTATAGGGGGCGCCACCACCAAACAAACATGGCGGCTGAGTCCAGCTCGCGTCGGCTTGGCCGGGCTGCCTGAACGGGTGGCGCATTCAATTGAACAGATGTTCTTTTGTTTAATGCCAAATTTTATAGGTATCTGAACTGAGATGGTTACGTGTAGCCGGTGCACCTAAACTTGCAAAGCATAGTTTTGTTTTCCCGTTGTTTTTTTGCTCTTTCCATGTCAAACTTTCGGAGATTTCATTCAAAACCGAAACTATGGGCTCCGGAGAGACGGTAATAGACTGTAATCAGTTTTGATCATTTAAGGAAAGCGGCGATGACCACAGAATCGTTCCACCGAGAGCCATTTTCAGCTAACTCGCATGACTCGACCATGCGACTTATTTGTCCACGAAATCGAGCGTCTGTGCGGTCAACAACACAGGCTGCGGGAAAATTACGAAAATTGAGTGAGCGCTTCTTGAGCCGAGGAGCATTTTAACCCGCTGACGCCCCACTACGCAGCTGATACTCTTTATTTCAATTCTGGTTTTAGTATAGCAATCGAGAATTCATTTTGACGAGCGGGTTATGTATTATAGTACGAACTATGTCCCACTAAAGCGATATTAGTATATCCTTCGGGTCGGAATATGAGCTTAGTTGACTAGCTATTAGATGAACTGCTGAATAATATTTGGCAGACAGAAAGATACTACTTAAACTCAGCCAAATGGTTCTAGCCGGTAGCACGGAGACGAATGCGGACGAACTGAAGAGAGTCTTTATCGGAGATTCACGCAGAACCCCTCTGCATTGAACTTGACTTCGAATCATGAACAGAGAAAATTAGCATTTTCTGTGGCCAGTAAACCTGAGCAATGTAGACTTATATTGCTGATGGCTTCGACGGGGGTATAATATAAATATTGGAGGCGCGATAGATCATAATGCCGCGACAGCTTCTAACTTTGCGAGACGCGTCCTTCCCCTTCTGAAAGCAGATAACTTCCCTCATTAATCATATGCAACGAGCAGGTTTTCCTGAATCAAGTAATTGCAAAATCAGCCCAACTCCTTCAATGTGGTTCAGAGGCCTTTTCGGCGAAAAGCAGCCAAGATGAATAGCCAACGCACCGACCGGCGTGGGTGGCACAAACTTGAAGCTTCAAACACAACCAAACTCAAGAAAAGCAGCTGTCGAACCTTCCCATTCACTTGACTGCAACGTTGGTGTTTCCTCCAATGAAACGTCTCGTCTGTCGTCCTCAGTCCACTGTTCTACATCCTTAAAAATAAACCACTTATCAGTCCCCAAGTAGTCGTTACTTTGAATGCGATTCGAGACAGACAAGAAATCTAAACGGTTTTCCGTGGTTCCTCCCCATTCAGGAAATCGAAAGCACGCGACCGTCTGTTGTGGAGTAAATGGGCTTTCAAACACGCGATGGAAGGAAACAATCTACTGAGGCTTCACCACACTAATGAACACTCAGGCAGACTATCGGACCCTCGTCAAATTTCATTGTTCGCCACCGCGCCGACAACACGTGTCCGCGAAAGCCACCAGAGACGCGGAGGGGCGCGGAGCGACCTGGACCGGCGGGTTCCCGGTTTTCCCGCTTGGTGGCGTCCGCTTTGCTGGAGTCGCGAATAAGGTTGCACCGGGTGCAGCTATTCTAAAAATGCACCAGCATGTTCCCCTGCATAGCACGTAAAGAATCACCAAAATAAAATTTATTTTAAAAAAAATCTTTTTTTTTTTTTTTTTGACAGTGGTTTGCATTGGGGGAATGACGGCTCGCAAGTTTATGGCTTTCTCAATTTTAAAGCGTGAACCTCTTTCTGAGGTCTGAGTGCTCCTGCACCCTCATTATACCTATCAAGATCTTTCCATAGATGCAGGCATTGGTTTGTACTGTGTGAGGAAGCATAAGCATGAGGATCTTTTAGGGTACATGAGCAGTCAATCAGTTACGCCCCACTTGCACCCTTGAACACGTCGGGAAACTGATGTTTGTAAAACAAAACTTGGATCATGGTATTTTAGAATGAAAAGCAGCAAGGTCTTTCACAGTTGCCTGTGCAGGTTTGGGCAGGTTAACACACGATAATCCTATTTGGGCTTGTGTTAGGTTTGGGCCAATTTATTACAAACTGAATTGACCTGAATTCGGGGTGCTGCGATGCCACGACCTGACTTGTCACATTAATTATTTGCAACATCCTCGAACATATAAAAAGTAGCAGAATGTGCGTGCAAGCTGTTATGCAACAAGTTCTGATTTGACTGACGTAGTGCAAAGCCTGCTAAGACCGGAGGATGTTTGTGTCACAATCCCTAAAATAATCTGTTTACACTTTGCAGGCAGCCACTCGCTGCGAACTACGAAGATCGGAATAGGACTACATCTAGAAAATATGTTGACCACACTGTTCAGGAGCAGGGAATGAACACAACGTCTATTGCTCATTTTTCCTGTGCATGTTGCAGTGCTCAATACTATTCTGAGCTGTCACTCTCTACCTGCCCAGTGATTTGCTCCCCCCACGTACTGCAGGAAAGAAAACATACAGGTATTTCTAGAGCTTGAGTGGCCAGTTTCTGGTGATGGAACTGGCATTTAACCTTTTGCAGTGAGTTTTGTAGCATGCAAAATAATGCTTTGGAGCAGCCACTGACGTTTTTGAAGCGGACGCCGCTGTCTGTTAGCATATCGCTTAAAAATTCAAATGTGCAGACGTCACTGAATGAGTCATGTCTGATA